ATATTCCCGGAACGGTATTTTTGATATACAACCTCGCAAAGAAAAGCTTCGTCACTCGACAGGTGGAAACACTCTCAAAGCCATTCTGAAGTGTGCGGCGAAAAATGATACACCGGGTTGTGTCGATGTCTCGTGAAAGAGAACGGGCGATGTCTCGATTCTTCTCGCGTCTCTCGTCACACGCTAGGTGCCAAAGAGGAGCAGCTTTGAGCGCCGGCTAACAGCATAGCTGTATGCACGAACGACTATTGAAGCACAAGAGAGAGAGATATAATACTCACTACTTAGACGGAGTTATCTCGTGACCAGACGGTCGAAAGAATGTCTGATGTCTTAAGAACCCTCTCAGACTACATTGCACCGCGCGGATGCACTCTCACACGATTTGCCAAAAAAGCTGACGCTCTTTCACGCGCTTATGCATATATGCACTATGGCACTTGCCACCGCCGAGTACACATAGTGATACAAGAGAAATTGTTACGAACAAAATTCATATACAGCGACGATATTGCATACACAAAATCTTACAAATATGTAAACGTGATTGTTTTCATAAACGTTTTTTTTTTTACATTCTCGCGTTTACATCTCAATCCGAAATGGTCAATCAAATGTAAAATAGACATCGCCGTCAAAAGTCTCGTGCGGATATTTTATTGCGAAACGCGAATACTTGTGGCCGAGGTGGCACGTATTTCATAGTGTATCCCCTCGTAAAACCCTCAAAAACTAATTTGAAAAGTGTTCCGGCCCTTTTCAATGTTCCAACTTTTACGCGGCCCGCTTAAATATGTAATAAAGGCACGTATGTTACTTTCACTTTGGCGACCCCTCTGCATCGTAAATCCATAACGATCGTTATGCATTGCCCATCGCCGAAAGTACATCATCCTTAAATGGAGGTGGAGGGGCTTGACTTCGATCTACCGTCTACGTCGAGATGACATCATTGGCGGAATAGTGGCGGGGGGTACATACTCGAGACATCTCATTCCGAGGTTGAAAAGCACCGGTGGATTACCTTTACAAAATACGCGAGGATCCTGTGAACCGCGCTGATCCCCATCGAGGGATATGGATACAATTTTTATGCTCGGCTTTCTAAAAAATAGCAGAAGGCTTTTACCGACAAAAAGAAGAAAGAAAGAGGGCTTCCTCCTTGATTTTCAGCTCTAACGCTTTCAATCTTAAAAGCTTCTAACTCATAGATTAGGCTATTTCGAAAGATAGGAAATGCACTATCGAATAGATGTATACGAGGATAGAAACGAATAACATCCAAAACTGTCAAGAGTGAAAAAAAGCAAAATAGGAATTTTCAGATAAGGCATCTTACGACCTCTGAAAGTTCGTCAGTGTCACACGTTTTCGCTTGGCGATATGAGAGGATGAGAGGAAGTGAGTGAGGGACCGGCTGAAAATAGCGACGGCTACAGGGAGAGCCTGGAATTTCGCAAAATTTAAGCCTGCCGACATCCATCACTGCGCGCGACAGTCCTCCCGTCGCTTCAACGTCAGCCTGCGTCGCTCTTTTTGGGTCTGCCAGAGCGCACGAGTCGGTACACGCATGCAAACGTGAAGCCGCAATAGCTGTAACGCGACGTAAAATCCGCCGTTCGTCGCGCAACCGGAAAATCGTCGCGTGAAATGACGGCGACAATATCGTTCGATCTTGAACGGTAAACGATTCGCGGCGTGATACGTTATTATCTCGATTCTGCGTCGCATTCCGTGCTGAAATAAAAAAAATTGGAATTATCGTCATTTCAAAATAGACCAGTCCCCGCCCACTTCCATTTATTAATTTTCCGTCCGCTAACGACATAAGTAGATTAACGGAAATTATCATCGTCATTTTAATTAATTGAGAGGCAACGTGACTACATCGGCGTTCCGCACTGCATAAAACCTCGCGAAAAAAGATATTTGCCGTAAAGCCTATTACGTTCTTTTACAAATATAGCTACTACAGGTTGCAACTGACAGTCAAATTACAAAAGCGAGTATTACATTTTACGCTGGCTTTCAACCTGATACGCGTTATACCCGCGCCGTCGGATTATACCGACGTAAATAATGGAAAATTGCAACACTCGGAAAAAATGTACAATTTTGTTGCATACCAGAGCCACACACACGCGCGTAAGCTCCTCGCTAAAACAAAATATTTGGTATTATCTAAATGTAAATTTTTTTGTACGTTTTTTTCAATTTTAGCACGCCTCACGCATTAGCAATCTTAATTAAACAAACAGGATTATTATCTCAAAGTTTGTCAATATATTCTTTTCTCTAATATACTTCTCTAATATCCGGCGAAGAAAGCTGCTTTATCGTGTTTTAAATCTTAAGGAACATGTGCGGGTTCATAAAATGAAAAAGAAGGAGCCGGGATGATATCGTAGCGAAGAAAAGTCGCGCACACGAGCATTTATGGCACATAGGAATAACGCGCGCAGCAAACGCCGTGCATCAAGTGCAGTCACTCCGTTGTTTCTCAGACCACATCTAAGTAACCAAACTTTCGGCATCACCACAAGACCGCGACAACTAACCTCGCTAAATTCAAAATTTACTAGTGCGAATTCCAATTCGATTAATTTGCATTTCAATGTCCCACACGCCGGCAGAGATTCAACGCACCTCGCCCACGTAAGAGAGAACGATATAATTTCAGAATGTTTCAGAATAATACAACAGCGTAATGCAATTGCGGTTCACGAGTGTATGATAATTTCAATTCAAACGCAAGTTTCGTTGCAACGCAATTTCGCAACTTTGCTTCTTTCATCACGATTCATTGCTAAGAATCATTACTCATCCGCACTAGTTCCATTCTATAGCATACAGACTTTACAGATAATTGTCGCTGTGATCGCCCAACCGTCTGATTATCGTGCAGCGATTCGAGATAACTGTGCATATTAATATCGTAATCCGCTCTCGTCGACCGATTTTGCAGCTGCCATACTGAGCAACCCGTTCGGCCAGAAGCTTCGATGGTCGAGATATTCACTAACGTGCCGCTAGGCGAAAATAACGAACGCGAAAATAGCTTACTTTTGTATTCCGATCCGACGTGCAGCGTACGCGATTTCATAACGCGAAAAGACGACATCGAGTTACCGGATAAAAGTTACGGAGGCGGTTCTCCGAATGAAATATGCGCGTTTAAATTGGATCAAGGAAAGATTGATGAGCTCGCGAACGATTACTGCGCTGAAACGTGCGTATCTTCCAGCCGCGAAAGCGCAATACAAAACGAGCCTTACGAGAGAACGGTCAAGAGTGATGGTACTTCTTCGAGGAACGAAGATGAATCTCGATGCAAATCGAATCGCGGAAGAAAAACACGTCGCAAGATGCCTGATGGAGTTATCATAGATCTTAGCAATGATGTTTATGGCACTTCCCGCGGTGGCAGGATTAAGTTCAGCGTTATTTCCATGCACAGTTTAGTACCCGAAGCAAAGTTTCTTGCAAAGTACGGATTTTTTTCAAATGCAACAAAGAAAGATAAATATATAGAGACTATAAAATCTTTAACAACTTTATATACGCGAATTTCTTTCAGAAGATATCCACGTTTTTCATTGTGGAATCGCGGTGCAAGGAAGAAAAGGATGATCGACAGTTCTGTGTTGGCTATATTTTATGATAAAAATTGTAGAAACGCTGAGAAATCAACAAAACGCAAGCGCAAGAATTCTCAAAAAGAATTAGTAGACAACACAGTACATTCAAATATTAATACGACTGTTGACGTATCGAATCAATTAGAAAATGCGTTAAGCAAGCAACGAGAGTTAGAGGATAACTTGCAATCGTTTTGTATAACCGATGGGATCTTCGATTCAAAATGTTGCCATCATGACGCGCTGTTCCATGATGTACGATACTCTGTTTTGAATGCAAAACAGACATGTGTCGGTAACATGAGGAAGCATATCGCAAACTTTTGCTGTACGATTTTTGACAACACGCGCCAAGAACATCACATCTGTGATCAAAAAGATTACAACGCAGATGGTTCCGATTTTAATGCGGAGATGCAACCTGATTGGATGACCGACTGCTTTCATTCCGAACATGCGGAGGGATGCTTCTGTGTTTCGAACGAGTACTATCCCGACATAAATATGCAACATGACTGTTGCTCTTCGATCCCGATGCGAACGACAAGACTACTCAAAAATTCTGCTCTTCCGAAGAAGCATCAAAGGAAAGAGATCAAGCAATTCGAGAATATCGCGCTTGAATTCGCAACGGAAACCGATGAATATTCTCCGGATCGAGACGAGCGTAGCAATCGGTGCGCGAATTGCGTCGAGGAGAGAAAAAGTATGGCGAGCACGATCCGGAAATGCGCGGCGTCGAGTGGCAGCATGGCCGATCTTCGCGACTCGAGCATCGTGGATGCGTCGCAATGTGAAATTGATACGCGTTCGGAGGAGCGCGGACGGCGAACTACGACGACGACGGCGACAATGATGGGAAGGGAGGGCAAACAACCGAATAAATCAGATTTGCTGAAAGCCGCTGACACGCGGGATACACACGCGAGGAGAGACTGCATCGAGCGGTGCTGCGGCGGCCGCGTTGTCGCGGTGCCGTCGCGCGCGGACCGATCTCCCGGGGAAAAAGGCGGATCCGCCCGCGGAGTGGATTCGAAGTGGAAACCGGGCTCCATTGAAACTGACGCCCGACAATTGGATTACAAATGGAAGAGAAGAATCGCGACCGTAGATGCCGGTATGCGCGCGAGTGTGAATTTCAAAGGAAAACGTGATTCCAGGTGAGAGTCGATTTGAATGAGATATGGCCGCGCGATAAAGGGATCGCGCTGCTTTTTTTCTATCTTTCCCTCTCTTTGTCTCCGTCTCCCTTCTTCTTTCAACGTTGTAACGCCGGCTACGTCCAACAGATATAAATCGGAAGAGGCGATTCGTGTCCAATTGCGCGAAAGCGTGGAGATAAGGAAGCGCGAGAGCCTGCAAATGGTCGAAGCAATGTTAGTATCCGCCTGGTTTTGGCATTGCAGCACACATCCATCCCTGATAGAGAGAATGGAATTCTCCTATCTTTTATTCCCCCCGTTTATATTGCTTTAAAAGTTATTCTTATATATCAGACTCTACTGCTCCTAATATTCTTATTTTTATGTGGCATTTTATCATTACGCTTCTATCACTTTATCATACGAAATATTCCGGAATTTAATGAAATACGTTTTTATTTACTCTATAAATTCAATTAACACATTATCAAAATAATTTTGAAATGTTAATAGCCATTAGCCATTTTTTATGCTATAAATTTCGTGCGTGTTATATGTAGAGAGTGGCAAATCTATCGAATCTTTATTCTTTTTTTCGATGGGTTCTTCGATTAATTTAGAATTGACATTTCCTTAAAATTGAAGTCAACGAAGCATGTTAGATTTGCAACACTCTGTATAATGCAGCGCGAGACACAAGAGCTTTACACAGCGAAGTTCCGCAAATGTGCAGGTCACAAACGAGGGGCGACAATACAAACGCCGACGGCAAACGTCGCGAGACGCGCTATTACTCTCTTTGGACGAGTTTACAAATGGGCAAAATTTGGTCGCAAGTGCACGACGCGTGCAAGAACGTCGTAAAGCTCGCTGCGACGAGTGTCGGCCGTATTGTGAAGGATGCACCTAAATCGGAACGTTCGCCGAGAAATCCCGTCGAAGTGGCTGACGTGAAAGCTCTCGTCGAAAGCTCGTCCTCGTGTGCCGACAAAATATGTGAAGAAACGTGTCGTAAAAATTTAATATGCTTAAAAAGCGGGACAAAATCGGAGTCGCATCACGAACGCGTAATCGAGGACACGGGGGAACGCCGCAAGGATACAGAAATATCGATACGGGAAAACCCACGAGCGATTACGCTTCCTCGCCGCGATATGCGAAAGCACGCGTGGCAAAACACTGAAAAAGGGGAGGACGAAAAGTCTTGTGTATTTTACAGCGGTACGATTAATAGTAATCAATCCTCCACACGTCTACCTGTTGCACTGATAGAACCATCGAAATTCATAGCTTATATTTAGCAGTCAACACACCCATTTCGCGCAGAGTTTACTTAAAAAATACATGTAACATTTTTTTAAGAATATGTTGTTTTTTTTATAGAGGTGATGTAACAGTGGGTCGCTCGCTTTTTCCGCACTGCTTTTCAATTTTGTTGAGTTATTGATTTTTCTTTCATCTACCGGCGTTTGAATGTATGAACTATAAATATTGCGCTGCACCGAAAATGTATTTTTTACTTCGGATGAATATTAAGAAAAAATAATAGTAGAATTCGTTAATCTTACAAATGAATGCAAATTTCTCCATAGTTGCATTACGCGATTGCGATACGTCGATACATTTTATTTTATCGTAATCTTTAACCAATCCTTCTTTTTAGAAATTTTCGAATTTACGCGTTACGATACAAAGGGTATTATTTATATTTAAATTTTACATTAACCTTTGCACACGAGAATTTGCATTTAGATACGAAAAAAAATATCTGTGTAATATTCAATATCGTAAAATATTCTATCGTTTCCCGTATATATATAATATATAAATTTCTCTCATCTTTGATACGGAAATAATAATTGCTCTCTCAGAACATGAACGTGATAGGTATCGGAACATTGTGGAATTCCCCCCGCAAAATGAAACGTACGACCACGATGAGAATGTATATCCTCAATCTCGTTTGAGTGGATCCTTCTCGTATCTCGAGAACTCTGCGTATCCAGGACTTCGCAACAGGGGTGGTAGCGATGACAACCGGGATTTCGCGAGCAGCACTGAAGATAAGCAAAAATCCATGCAACGCACCTACGACGCGGAAGAAGCGAAATCCATAAGACATCATCGAGATTTCATCCCGAAGAAATGCTCGTGTCCGAAAAATCAAATAATAAACGTGCGTTTTGTTGAAAATCAAAATTTACAGCACGTGATCGTATCTCATAAAACTGATTGCCAGATAAATCACGCAGACGCACCAGACGTCTCCCAAAATAATTCTCTCGATCACGAAGTTCAATTGACGAGTGTATCTTTTCCGGAAGATAATAGACAAGGAGAAATACACGCGACACCTTCAATCGGATCTCGCAAGGAAATGGAAGTATACAAGAATATTGAACATGCAGTCGGCACGGAAACCAAAAGAAACTTGACATCGGAGACCAGTGAGATCGCGAATGCAACGGCATCCTCAACGAATCCGACGGTTTATTCCGCGCGAAACGACCCGGACAAACCAATAGCGTCGACTTCGAAATGGGAAACAGTGCCTGTATCGTCGGAAAGATTGCAGGGAAATCGTACCGCTTCCAGAACACCGATCTGCGCAACGGCGATGAAATTCTGGCGGAAGCAATCGGCTGTCGCCAATAAAAAAATCATTGCGCCTATGTTTAAACGACGAAAGAGCATCGGTAGGGGAAAGTTATCGGTTATAGTCGGCACTACTCGCGATAGTAAAATGAAGATTACGCAAATAGAGCCGTCTACCGTGCAAACTGCTCAAGGAGGCAATAAAAGGCAGACTTACGTAAACATTCAAATGCAAACACCCGACGCGATTGTTGGAAGAATTTTATCGGAGTTTCTCGTAAGTGGCGAGAAGAAGAAGAGAGTGACAATGAGTATAACGCTGCAATCGGATTCTAATAACGACGTTTCGGACAGCAAAGAGATCTCGTTGAGAGAAGCGGAAACGCAAACATCGTCGAATGACGTTTCTTCCGTGGCCACCGACACGTTTGACTATCCATATGGACGTCCTCCGGTCGCAATCACGTCCACAACAAAAACCGTACCATGCTTTGTCTGCGATAAGCGAGATTGTTATGAAATAAAGTATTCTGATGATTCGATCACTTTGGAAGATGCGTTAATCGCGGAATATCCAGAAACATCTGAATTGAACGACTATATTAGCAAAACGAAAAACGGACATGTCAGTTTCACCGTAATTTATATCTGGAGATACTTTCTCGACGAGTGATTCGTGTAAATGAATTATTTGTCACAGAGTAAGCAATAATTTTAAACAACGGTTGACGTATTAAAATTTGCGTCTGTCAGATTTTCAAAGCTGATTGACGCGAACGAGTTCGACATATCGAGAAATTCGGAACTTCAGATAATTTAAATTTTCGTAACCTCGCATTTCCACGTGTACTTGTATTTTCATAATTCTTGATTATGTGCATCAAGAACACATTCGTTATATCTTGCCGAAATGTATTTTCAGAGTGCGATGTTAATTGTTAATAGCAACAGAGAGAAACAAATAAGTTAATCATGAATAACCTCTTCCACAAATTACGAAGTTTCGATAAATTCGCAATTTCGAGTAATTCTTTATTCGGAAAGCAAAATTATAATTTACCTATTCAATATTAGCACATTCAATTTACCATGCTTAATATTAACAATATTAATGCAATATGTGTTCCGTAACATCGATGTTCTCCCACACATTAAATAAACACGTTAAGCGCCGTAAGCATGGAAATAACCAATGCGAGATTATTGATCCTGAAACAAACCTGACTAAACAAGCAGAAATTTTGTCAATGCCCAATTATTGTGCCCATGGCTGCGCATCGAGAAACTTTGTGCTCTTTCAGAAGATAATAAATGATTTGAGAAACTCCACTATGCACTTGATGCAAAAAAAAAGAGTAGATTTTATTACAAATGACCTGGATGAAACGCGGTGTAAGCCTCAAGAGGATATTTTTATGCGCACTCCATCGATTGAGGATAATGTAATTAAACGAGAAATGAAAGCTGTTGACAGAATCAAGCGGAAAACGGTTGACGCAATCACATCTACCACGCGACTCGGCGAAGCTTTCAATAAAATAAAATGCAAAAATCTTTCGGGCGCCGTAAAAGACTTTGTTCACGACGTATGTATTCGATATGCGAAAGACGCAGCGCGGTACGTGGGTAACGCCGTTTCCGAACATAGCTGCGCTTCGCAATGCATCAGCGCCGAGACTCAAAGCGATACCACGGACGGGGAATTCAGTTCGGAAACAAGCCTCGACGCTTTTACGAAAGCATGCAAAAGGAAGCTGCGCGCGGACTTTATTCTCGAGAAAATTGCGAAAGTCTCTGACGCTTTGTCAAGGAAAGCGCGTTTCGATCTCAAAGCTGAGAAAGAGAGAATAAGTTTGATCGGCACAGACGTATCGGTAACGTCGACGACAGATGGGACGGAAAAGGAAATATTTGAGAGCACGAAACCATTAGTATCGCCGATCATTCGCGCGAAAAAGAAATCGAAAGATATAAAGGCGACAGATGTTGCGGCGGATGTAATGCGGCGAAAAACAGATCGGGAAAGAATGCGCGCGGATATCCCGACGTCCCCTTCAATTCACTTTGCCAAGGAGTTACAAGATTCTTCGGCATACTTGGACGCGACATATGAATCGGTCGTAAAAGACCAAATTCCATCGACGGATAAAACAAGGAAGAAACTGCGACCAATGTTAGACAAATCTGTTTCTGTTGTGAGCGACACGATCGATGCCGCTGTTGATACTTCAGTTATAGATAGACAGATTTCATTGTACAAACGCCGATCCAAGAAGATACAAGTCGCGAGGGTCACCGATAAAATTATGGCGTCTACGTACCTTGGCGCGGCATCGTCCGAAACGACAAGGAAGGGTCGTGATAGATTCAAAGAGTCAAGAACGAAAGTGCATTCGGATGATCGAGCGAAATGGACGAGAAGTCCTCAGCCTGTGAGATATTACAATGGTTTAATATCGGATAAGACATGTTTTAAAAGATACAAATATTGTGATACTTGGAGCACCTCGCGCTTTAGACTGCAGAGTGAAGCCGCGCAGAACGCAGCTTTAAACTACGCTTGTTTTCCTTTCCTGCAAAATTTATGTGCAACCAGATATCATTCGTCAATTGACAACAGCGCTTTTTCCAGAAAATGCAACATCAACAATTGCGCAAAACGTAGGGCAACGTTCGGAAATTCATTATATACCAATATGTATTGTAATGGCGGCACGAAGTATTGTTACTCGCGTTTGAATGATATTGACAACGTTCGAATGGGATATTATCATTGCAATGACAGTTATCCAGCGTGGAATGACGGCCGGCATTGTGGAAGGAGTCGATCATATTACTGCACGGGGGAAAATTTATATTTTATGCACCCGTGGACGTCGCGACATTTGCTGCGATATAATTGATATTGACAATAGCAACATATGTGATATTTAACTTGACTGAATAATTCAAAATCAATCGCAATCAATCGCAGTAATGTAAAATTGATACCGCTTTGTTGCAATTTTTTTTACAAGATTTGTGATACAAGGCTGAGCGCAAACGCAGAGAAAATTAAAATGGATAAATATGCGACATAATCCGCAGCCTGTGACGCGCGTCAATCCTAATTATATACTGCGTACTAATTTTAGTCATTACCTCGCATGCAAATAGCCATAGAGTATTGCGCCCCGTTGGACACGCAACCATGTGCATATTATTAATTAGAATTAATAACGCACCAAGTATAGTTGCAACATATGCGCGATACTCGACATATTGATGTCAGGCGATAAGACAAAACACATCATACCATGTGTTAATGCGGATGGAATGATTATGTGTCCGCGCAGCAACATGTCATATGTATTATACGATTAGTTCATAATTCATTAGCAACGACACGTAGCTCGGCGTTGGAAAAAAATTGGAATAAAAAATGCATTACAATAGTTGAACAAAAAGATTGCCAGTCGCCAGAATAATAAGTTAGGTGCAGAGACAACGTCGTCATTTTACCTGTTTGCGAAACTATTTCGCTACTTGAAAAATGTACAAGAAGAAACCATCGCATACGTCGTGACTGTCCTCCAAGAAGTGTCAAACAATGCTGGAAAGAGCTTGCGGGCAGTTGGAAAACTTTGCATCAACGGAGATCCCAGCGGGGACGACGCTGTACCCTTAAGCGGCCTTCGCGGTTGGCGATTGCGGCGGAAGGAACCTTGCGGAAGTTCGTCACGAAGTTCCTCGGTAGCCCACCTGCCGGATACTCGGGTCAAACGGCTTACGAGCTTCAAAAACTGCCCGAAAGGCGAAAGCGTAGCTGCATGTGAATGTTTCATCGCCAGATATTCGCGTTATCAAAAAGGTACACGCTGATATTTAATCCTATAAAAATTAATTTTATAACAAAAAAAAAACAATGATACGAATAACAAAAAACTTCCAATCTTCTGAACACACACATATAGTTTACAGAAACGTGATAAAGTTTGATTATTTCCATTCTACGCAGACGAATCCATAATACGATCAACTAATCGAGGAATTGATGCGCGAAAGCCCATCGTGCGAGAAAACATCTCGCGAAGATTTCACGTCCTAAGCAGCCTTTGTACTCAGAGTCCATCGAGACGAAAACTTTGTCGAAGTTTGTGCCAATCTGCTTGGCAAACTTGCTGGGTGACCGATATAACGAAGGGTTACAAACTAGTCTCTTCCCGAGGACCAAGTACATCATGAGCTGCACAGGCGGTATTAGGGCGTGCCTGCCGCTGGAGCGTACCCGGTCGTATACCCGAGTAGCTTCGTGCAATGGCGGGACTTAACGTCATCCTGGCGGATGCATCAAGCAGGCGGCGTTGTAAGATTTACTATTCAACTTTAACGTCGTGCGGTAACTTGGTTCGCGACGAAGTACGATACGCTTCGACAGAACGACGCGCTGTGCTACGTCGTCTTTCACGCAAAGTACCGCATTTCGAGAACGCCAATGTCGACGACACCGGCGGTTGCCGGAACGAGTCGCTCCACGGGCGATGATAATGACAACGGTAGAACTCGTAAGGACTCGTGGGGATGCGATCGTGCCAGATCGAGCGAAGTAACAGCGAGGAAACTTCGTAGCGTCGAGCTTCGCGAATATCGTGAAAAGCGCGCTTCCTCGGTGTGTGATTCCAGCGAAGAAAGATCGAGGAGGGTGCGAAGGATACCATAATGCTCCCCGACGCTCCCATCCGCTGCGTTATCTCACGCGAAGTTGATTAAACATGGACGACAACACGCGCTACCCCTTCCCCTCGCAATCCCCCTACTGTATCGTGCCCCACCGTCCACCACCGTGCATCCCGGCCGTGTATCCACCTCTGTCCGGCCCACCTCCGTGCAATCTGCCGCCGTGTAATCCGCCTGCGTGTAAACCACCCTCGTGTAAACCGTTCCCGTGTAAATCACCGCCGTGTCCAGCGCCATCGGCCCGTTTGCCGTCGTCCTGCGACACATCTCAGCGTGTTCAGCGTCTTTGGACCGTCCAATTCCGATCAAGAGCCAGTCTCGTGTTCAGAGCCAGCTCGTGTTCGATAGCCCCATGCTATTCACATGGAACACGCGCGACTCGTAATGAAAGGCGGGACTATGTCAATGGCGATGAAAAGGCTGATTTTACCTTTACCAAAGTTGGATTAAATGCAAATTATCGCGATGGAGTTTAACGGAGAAGTTTTCTCTGCGCGTAAGTGACGTATACATGCAACGCTTTACAGCTTTTATATGATTTTATCTTGTTACAGTTTTCTTAAACATTGGATAATTTATTAACTAGATTATATCTAGGGTTGTATTTTTTTGCTTCTTCTTCTTTCGTAATTAAAAATAGAGAAGAATCTTAACATTTAACAATTATTTCGTTAACCGATGTTTGACTGTACGATTAAATCGTGCTTGTATTCTGAATTAATATCCAGAATAAAAGAGATTTCTCTTTATCGATTTATTCGCGTAGAAGTAATTTACGACGCCACGTGTTATACGTTTGAATTTCGTTATATACGTTTGAGTTTCGCTATTACATTAAATGTAGATGCTCGACCTACAAAAGTCCCCCTTCTTACGGCGGATGCCGCGGTCAATCGTGCGGAAGGATATATAGTCGTGCGAGTTCCGGCAGCGGAACGGGCTGCTTGCCGAGAAACACCGGGAAGCGGTTTGGATCTGAGTGCTGCGGCGTTGGAAATCCGAGCTGCGGAGGATGTTGCTAATGATTCACCGCTCTGAAGATTCCACACCCGCTGCATACTCAAGAATTTAATAAATAAAACAGTGTTCAACGTAACTGGCAACTTTATTACTTCTGAAAACGTGCAATTTATTCTGCTAAGCGCGACACTTGTATATATTTAAATTTTTGTTCGCTTACCGTATAAAACTTTATTATATCTTAATTAATTATAGCTGTTTAATGACAATTAATCTGATGGAACTGTAACTTGAATTAATGTGGAATAGCAACATGTAACATTACCGTGTGATACTGACAGGAACAGTGACAGCAAGTTAAAGATGAAACTACTGAATTGTTCACTATGCGCATTATACTGGCCACAACTGCTCGGAATATCGAAACTATCCGTTTTCGAGTTCCTTTAAACCACGCATTCCGATCTGTCAAATAATCAGCCGCTGGATCGGTTGAGAGAACAAAGTAAAGACCCTGACGAGATCCTCGCAGAGCATCGCCGACAGCTTACTTGCGAGAAAAAACTTGCGCGAGTTCTACGTAATCTCGACGTCAGTTATCGGATCATGAAAAGGTAACGTTCTCCCTTTGCGAACGAGTTACTTTGTGAGTTAACGAACCTGTCGTTATCGTGAAGCCTCTTTCTCCTTCCCAAAGAATAAATCTAATAATATAATTTCTCAAGATTGGTTTTATTCTGAAATTTTTTATGAAACTTACAAATGAGACTGTTAATTAAATCCGAGTATGATTAATATGCGGTCAAATAAGATAGACGATGCAAGCAGATGCATAAATTAGACCGATTTTGTGATCGCGATCGGCACCTTCCTTTGACCCTCGAAACTAATAACGAGCAACAAGATATTCGTATTCAGCATCAAACTGCAATTAGTAATACTTTCACAAAAGAGCACAGAGCGGACAGTAAGAGGATATTCGAGAAATTGCGCGCGAGGGGCTACACTTTTCTGATAAGTCGCACATGCACGATAATGACAAGGGAGATTTAAAATCGGCCACTCTTTTACATTCATGAAAAGAGCCGTGCGCAAGACGAAAGAAGAATCGAGTGAACGAGATTAGTATTTGGCTTAACTTTCTTTGGCCGACAAACGGATTATGTAATCTCTTCGTTCTATAAACGTAGCTCGAGCTCTTGTGCTTTATTAATTGTTAAAAATAAAAGATTCTTCTCTTTAAAGGGAAATCCATGTCGCGCCATTATTTATCTCGCTCTTTTTACGCACGATTTTATTCCACCTTTTTACCTACAGAATTCCGCCTTATTCCTTTGTGAAAATCAACTCGGAAAACTGTTTTCTTCGGGAATACAGCCGTCGCCTACGCTCGAGCCGCGAAAGCGAGAGCGTGGAGTAGGTTATGGAATAATAGTATTAATAAATCTGGCGTGCCAAAGCGAACACACAGAACCGAGGCCGAGAAAGGGCTTGTGAGCGCGTCTCCTTTATTCGCCTGAAAGGGAAGTTTCTTCGGAGCGGCATTAACGTAACGTACCGTTTGCAAAAAGATAAGGGCTTGAATGCTTTTTGATGGACGGGGAGCGGCTCCGTCAAGCACGGTTGCATAGCGAAACGAGAGGTAATAAGGTTGACAAGGGAGAGACGCACACGTTCGCCCTCTCCCGCGCTCTGAAACCGGCGGGAGAAATGTCCCGTGTAATTCCGTTAACCCCGCGAAAGTGCGCCCGCGTAGATAGAGAAACATTAAAGCGCCAGTCGAGAGAATGCCGTCCCGCGCTAAACTTTTATTTACCGGCTACTCCCGCGAGGCGGTCCAAGTTTGAAATAAGCAGCGGGGCACCGCCGACGCTGTGCCTTCCTTCGCAGGAACGCCGTAATGCGTCTTCATTGCTCGGCCCCGATCCTCTCTCCCGTAACCGAAGTTCCGAACTATAGCTTACGCGCGTTATAACTTCGGCAGTTATAACTTGTAAATTACAAGGCCCGCGTAGTTACGACTTGCGCGTGGAGGAGGCCGTAACTTCTGAATTTGCGCGCTACGCGAATTTTACGAGGTGACATAATGCGCGATGGGGAGCGTCTCAAAGCTCGCATCGATTAACCGGGATGGAGCGGATGAAAAAAGGAAAACTTGGAATAGATTAAACGCAGCAATTAAATTTAATTCGATATTCCCGGCGGAAAACAGTTTAGCCGTCGCACACTTGATATTCCATTACGCCTTCGTGCAGCCTCTTTCCCTCGCGATGTCGCTCTCGCGTCCCATTAATTCCTTTCGAGCTCCGCGACGTCTCCAAAGGCGCGCTAAACAAATGAAATCTTTGCAGCGCACTCATGAGATCCACTCAGAGGAAAATAGCGGATGCCCTGCAGCCCTGCCGGAGAGTTTTGCCTTGGCTGGCGTTAAATGAGGTTACTTCTGACGTAAAGCGTTTTCCACGCCGGTGCCGATCGATAACGCTCGTTCACGCATTTCTAGATGTTTACGGCTGAATTTTTGACGTCGAGACCAATCACTTTGATAATCGAGACTGACGACGGGCAAAAGATCACTGCGCGGTCTTCCGGTCTACCTGCGTCTGTATGGGCTCGGACTCTTGCTTCTGAATTACATGAATCGACGAAATCGTACAAACGCTCGCCGCCATGGCAACTCGACGAGAAGGAAACCAGTGAATTGTTGTACAAGTATCACAGTAATCTTCTATTCCCATCAAATAGCGAATTGCATTCGCAAGATTCTTTCGAGTCTCCAGTAGCATTCTTTGGCATTCTTAGTTATTGAAGATTAACAAAGATATAGACCAGAAACCAAACTCGTTTAACAAGAATATTATAAACCAAACACTAAATGCACCATATTTGCGCTTCAAAAGACTAAAGAATGACGTATATGAAATATGCAATGTATCGCAATTCGTGCTGCCGATTTCGCAGAAACAAATATGCCGTAAAACCAAGATAAAATCACGAAGCTTTGATATTGTTCTCGTTTTGGAAGAATCCATATCTTTGCCCTTCAACGATGACACTGCGACCTTTGAGATCCGACGTGAATATTCGTTGAAAAATATTACTTTGTGATAAAAAATTTATGCCATTATTATAATCCGATCATGTTATACGATAAAACGAAATTACTTCTTATCATGATAGCTTAATAGAAGTCGTTCAACTTTCTCTTTGTGAGAGAACAGAGGAGCAACTTCTTCCAGCAGATCGTGCTAAATCTCGGATGACATAAAACGGACACGGACTAAAAGATCCTCTCAAGCCTACAGATTTATTGCGCTCAGTGACGACGGACGGCTTAGCACATTTTGTTTTCAGCGGCGAGAGAAATGGGCCGCCTTTTTTTCTGAAACGACCTACAAGGCGAGACCCTTTACGATTTTTCGTCCCTCCCTGCCCTCTCCTCAGTACTCGACCGAGCAAGCCCCGGGCCCGGACTTCCATTAACCCCGCAATTTCGGTTTTCGCCGAACCGCAGACACCCCTCGCGCACCTCGCCGCGGATTCGAGCACACGCACGAATTGTATCTCTGTGTTTCACGAGCGAGCGCACGGTAGTAGACACGAGGGTGCGCACCTGCCTGCCTTTCGCCTAAGTGCATTGTTCCACTTGGAGCAAAAGTTGCGGGTGCTCGAAGCACGAGATACCGCACCAAAGCCCTTTAGGTGAACGCCGGCGTTTTCGGGCGCAGCGTTGCGTAAAGTAGCAGTAAAAAAGTTGCAAAGACGTAAAAGTCGTGACCCACGTCCGGCTCGTTGGCGGAAACTTTAGTTTCATTGAAAACAGAAAGACGACCGGCGAGGTGTATTTCGCCAATTTCGTTTCCGAAGAATTTCAACAACAGTATTTCTGGATTGTTTGTATCGCCCGTATAAATAGCAGTTCGCATTTCGACGGAATTTAACTCATTTAAAAGTGTCTATTTAAAGGGGAAAAGAATCTGAGTTTTTCGGAATTTATTTTTATACAAATCTCCGAAATTTTTCACAACAAACCGGACATTTTTTGCGACCAAATTCGTCAAATATTTATTATTTGTATATTTTTTTGTATCTTTCGACGTTGTTTATATCTGTCTATATCATTACACTTGTTTTCGAATTTTTATTTTTTTTTTATATTGATTGTCACGAGCACACACTTCAAGTGTGAGGAAAGAACACGTTATTAAGCGATCCGAGTAGACTTCCCAATCGGATTTCGGTGAACGGTCGAGCCATTCTCATTAATCCTTGCGAAAGCCCCAATCTGTAAGAACAATGGTGATCCATCCCAGACAGTCTCATGGAGGACAAACAAATGTACGGGCAACCGGGAATAACGGGCGGCCCTTTGTACTTCGTAATTGAACGTCGACGTCTTCTACTGAAGTTTTCGACGGTGTCATTTTGGCGAAGGTCCGATTCAGATGAAACGAAGCGGACGAAACGAACGGAAATCGCCACAAATTTTATAATATTCTTCGATATCTTTCGACAATATAATTTTACCGGCTATGCGTGCCCCTTTTATTTTTCAAATAACGCTCGCTCGTTACACAGCGACACAATGCGAGCAACAAACATCCTTTTGATATCGTCGACACAATATCGGCTCGTTATCGATATCGCGCGGCGTAATTAATTAATAATTCTCTCAATATACCACGTGATAATGATTTAAAACGAACGAGCACAATAGAATGCTTTAACAACCAGTGATGCGTCATTACGATTATAAACATATTAATGAAGCAAAGCGTTAATGCGGGATTATCGCTCGAGGCACGAAGGGGGGGGGGGGGCACGGAATGTTCGCGTGCGAGCACGCTATGTATACGGACCATATGCTCAAAATATGTATACGGCTTGTTTATAAAATAAATAATACTTTCGATGCATATACGACGTATTCGCGCGTGTAGGCAAACTTGCCGCGCCGCGTACTGCGTAATCGCAAAAATCAATATTATCCCCGCAGATTCAGCCGCACCTCACCTCCGTCGCCGTGCAGCGTTCCTGCCGAAATCGTACTGCTCTTTCTCCCTCTCTTTCTCTCTCCCTCTTCCGCACTGTTCGAGCCGTATAAATTCGTCAACCGATGACCGGTCGCGGCCATTTACCCTTATCCGAAGATTTAGCTTCCTTCGAGCGAGCCGGCGGCGGTAATAGCGGTTCGCGAGATTTATTAGCGGATTCATGGGCGGGACGTTAATTCGTGCCGAAGAGCTCGAGAGACGTGGGTCGAGGAGAATCGTCGGGCGAAATGGCGAACGGAAAAGAAGAACGAGAACGGGAAGACGGGAAACGGTAACCAGTGTAAAAGTGGTCGGGAACTGGCAAAGGGAGCGGCAGAAAGAGAGAACATCGTCGAACCTATAGAGCGGACCGATGAGAGGCGCATTCGCGGATCTACCTTTTTTTTTTGCGCGGCAACGCAAACGCCGTCCTTTTTTTCTCTGGCTTTAATCCCCCGCGCCGGTTGTAATTTGATCCGCCTTTGTAGCGACCGCTACCGCCCGCGTACATCGTCCGCTTCTGCTTTGCGCGCGGAAAAACGTCGCGCACGTGGTGACCGCCGCAAAGCGGAGGCAGAATAATGACGGTTAATGAAAATATGAAAGGCTAACGCGCGAGAGAGCCCGGCGGAGTGCGGTTGTGTCGAATCGAGCCACGAGCGCGCGACGCGGTCGACGCGACGCGACGCGAAGTGGCGAAAAAGTGGAAAATAACGGCGGCGATTAATCGTCGCATCTAATGCGCTTTGATCGATCCACTTTGTCATTCCTCTCTCGTTCTCGTTCGAGATACATAAAAATGGCTACGTCGTTGAGCTAGTTGAGGGCCATTTGCACCGCGACTTTATCGATATCGAGGGGTGTTGGGGCTTTCCGTTGTCATTCTGAAAAATGAATTGGATAATATAAGCGCGATAAGAAATTTGCAGGAGTCCCTCCGTCCCTCCGACCGCCGTCTCCATTTAACAATCCCTCCGCCGATATTGCGCTATACGCCCTCGGCGAGTCAATCTAGCGGGACATTTCAGGCAAAACTCGAGCGACGGGCGCTTTTCCCGCGGATAAACGACCGTCGTCGTCAAATTTGCTTAGCGTATCAAGAACCGCCACGTGACACTCGACTGCCGTTTTAAAGCTCATACCCCGCGAAGATTTTTCAACTGTGAGAAACGATCGTAACGTGCGCTTTATAGCCGCCAGGGTTACGTGCAGACGGATGCCGCGTCCCATGGTTTCATAATTAGGCGATAACTTATCAGAGAGGCGTTCGCACGCCGTCGTCCGGGGGTTGTTCCGGGCGTCGCGACGCCCCGTCGACGGAAGCGGAAAGGCGGACAAAAAGGCGGCAGGCGGAAAGGGCCGCGAAGTACAAACCGAGAGGGCGAGCGAGGCTCATTTCCCGTCCGTCGGGCCCGATGAATTTCGACGGCAAATCGTCAAGACGACGATTTCAAGTTTCCCTTCCGGTCCTCCTCCTCCTCTCTCTCCGTCTTTTATCCGCGAAGAAACGGCGGAAAACTCGATTATACGATCGACCGCCACAGATATTTCGTACGCACCTCGCCGAGACTTGCAGACAATATTCAATACGGTTCATTTTACACCGCTTTAGATCACGATAAATGCCCCTCCCATCTTCCTCTCCTTTCTGCATAACGCGCATAGTTATCGCGTCACGCTCTTGTCATTTCTCTCGCGAGCAGCCGCCGCTGTCGCTTCTAGCGAGGCGAAGTTCTGATTTTATTGGCATTGACGGGGGGGAAAATGCCGCGAAGCGAAAGGAACCGGAGATTGTCGCGCAAATGAATTTGAAGTATTGCCATTCTACATCTTTCCATCTGTCTCCGGCGGATCGGCGCGCTCCTCCCGACTTTCCATTATCTTATCTTTCGTTCAGCGCTTTCGCTCGCGCTTTCGCACGGAACAGTTCCGCCGCAGGTACGATCTTTTTTCCTTCCCTGCGATTTCTTCTTTTGCCGCGTCTCTTTTTACCATCGTCGCGGTCTCGTTCCCACCCGTCTTTCCTCCGAGCCGAAAGTCGCTCTCTCGCGCGACCAGCTGGATCAATGTGCCCGATCGCATATTCGAGTTCAACGACCGTGCGAATTCGCCTGGTGCAACGATAAATCGAATTGAAATCGCGAATCCCAATAAGGCGACGGTAACGTTATTCCATCACGGTTGCTGATCGAGCGCCTTTGTTTCGCCATCTTGCAAAACTGATAACAAAAACGGCGCCAGCGATAGAGCAGGAAATGTTGCCTCAAAGCGAACGAATTCATCGAACGGCGCTCGAAATAATGCCTCGATGTTAATTGTGGCTCCTTCCTATCCGAGGCGAACTCGTCGTTGTTAATAATAATAAAACTAGTTTAAAAGCACATTAAGGTCCAACTGGGGTATCTTCAGCTGATTAATTTCCAGGGACGCTCGTCGCTACTAGAAAAGTCGCATTGACCATTTCCGCTTGCTCGAAACAGCTAAACTCTCGCGCGTATCAAGAGTCCTTCTCGTGCTTCGGGCCAAGTACAATAATATTATCACTGAGTTAAGTCATCTCGTAGTCGTCGCAAAGAATTTCCATTAAAGGATTTCAAAGGATAAGGTCGCGAAGGGAAGATTCCGCCCGGGAACTCGGGTTAAATTATCGCGGAGTGTGTTTGTTCCATTTTCTGCACCGACACCGCTAAGCTGAAAGGAGCGCAGCCTTTTGACCTGAATACCCGAGGTGCGCCGTTTTAGCCGCATATAATGTCGCTAAATAAGGGCGTTAAACGGGTTATCCCATCACGTCGCGATTAAGCGGCGACGCGATGCGATTTATAATAATTATCGGAAAAGCGGAGTGCGTCGTTCGATTTTACGGGAAATTCCGTTCACCGGCAGCCGAAAAGACAGGAGAACGAATAAAGTATGAAAATGCCTTTATAAGTTAAAACAGAATTTTCCTCGCCCGGAGACTTTCTCTGTTCGTTATTACGGCCGGTCGGCCAATAAAACTAATCACACTCTTTAATTATCGTAATCCTGGACATTATTCCACACTAAAGCTCGACACTAATCATCCGACGTGAAGCGATTCCGTTTATCCACTATGGGCAGGCAACGTACGGGTTCGCGCAGTAGAATAGGTCCGGCGAATAACCGGCGAGTAATTAGTCGGGTAATTTCTATGTAAAACGGTATAATTTTTTTTAACAGAGACATGGTACCGTTAATTTTTTAAATTACTACAACATTAAATTTCATACACGATATTTTTGTTTAACAAAAAATTTGAATTACTCAGCGATATTCTTTAACCATCGTTCACCGCGGCTGCATCCACCCATGCCCTGCGGCTTTCGATTTCCTTCACATCCAAGCCCGCGGCTATTCCGCAATACCGTAAATCGCGAGGCGCTAGCTGCTGGAAAGAACAGGCAGAACGGAGAGAGAGAATTAAAGTTAAGGGTAAACAGGCTGCGAGCGGGAGAAAGCGAGGTCGGCCGTGCCAAGCCTCCCTTTTAAAACGCTCCCCGTGGTGAAATAAATTGGCGCCGGCGTGTTTACACGTTAGGGCGAAATTAAAATTCCTGAAGTGTTGCGAGGTAGGTGGAGACGGAAGAGTGGCGGAGTGCCGACGAGAGCGGCTAGCCGCGGTGGAGGAAGGAAGGGGCACCGGCGCGGAGAAGTGCGAGAGGAGCAGGAGGACACGGGTGTCGACAGGCGAATGCCCGTAGGAGAGATGTGTTTAATTAATGACCGGACTAATTAAAAGCCTAAAGAAAAATACACCCGCGCGCGAGATCCGGGGAGGCGGGATAAGGGCCACGCTAAAACACTCGTTCGGTGTTAATGCACAAAAGCGTCGCTCCGACGATAGTGACGACGGAGTAGGAGATGAAAACGAGTCGGCTAATAAGTTTGCCCTGTTTCAATTATCTCGCCACACGGGCGTCTTTTAGCTACATCAGTATGATATTGTGCAAAAGAACCTCAAAAAGCATTAAGAAATTTACAGGAATGTCATTTGATCTTTTTCGGTGTGAAAAGAGAACCCAAGTGTATATTTAAAAAATGCACTCTATAGCCGCAGGATGAATATAATTATCCTAACCTTCGTGAATTCGGCTCTTATGCAACGCTCTAGCAACGCTCTTATGCTGCTGTACTGGAAAAAAAAAATTTCATTAATAATTGTACGCCAACTATTGCCGAATTACATCGCTTTTTAAAATAAAATTAATAACGTTGATATATTTATTGTAAAATTTCTAATTTTCTCTCAAGTATTGTGCTTGTGCTATCAGATAACCCGCATATATCTCGCAAGTTCAAAAACCGTTTTGTCTCAAGCTAAATTTCCTCGCCGTATCGATCGTGCCTTATCGGGATAGCTCGCGTGTGCGCGTTCTATTAACCACCTCTACCCTTAGTGTAATGATCATACTACGGTTTACCAATGAGCAAACGAACACATCCTGTTAATGTATAAATCTTGCAGGGAGCAAACGCGGGTTCCCAGGTACAAACACATGTATCTACGTGTGTACCTGACACCGTTGAATACATACATCCGTGCAATGTGCTACACGTGCTAAGGTACGGCAATTCTAATTAAATAATTAATCGCTAATGAGTTAAATTCCTCTTCTATATTGCGGAAGATATAATATATGAAAGTAATAACGTTCTTTCTTATATTCAATTGCACGTACTGTACAGAAAGTAGAATATTTTGAAACATTCATTTATAACATAGTTATTATTTCAACACTGACACAAATGCCGCGTAATAATTACGATTTCGTTGCGAATTCGAGGGATTAAAAGCTTGAATATATCTAGCTGCGACCGATGCGTCATCAAACTCCGGAACTCAATTTATCGAGCAGACAGTAAGCTCGCAAAACAAAGTCTATGCGGGTATCGATGCCATCGTAGATAATCTCGATACCGTTGGGGAATTCCTGCGGGAAATGCGATACACCGGGACAACGGCAAAAAAAAAGAAAGCACTCGACGACACAAGGCTCTGCGTTACGAATGATGCGAACGTCGCTGTAAATAACGCGCGTTACTAATTTAGATTTCTGTCAGATAAAACTGTCCTGCCGCACATCCGTCACAAAGTCCGTCGTTTGATTGCGTTTCGATGCGGCTCGATCTCTACGTTTGATGGCATCTAACATTAAAAATATATATATAACACGTGTGGAATATATGAAAGCGCAGTAAACGCTGCGTTTTCACAAAGTAACAGAAATGTTATTCATTTTATGAAAATGAAAACACCGTCGGTTTCAGAGAGTCACGTACGGAGATATTTATCGGTATGACTGAAGTATTAAAGTAGAAGCAATTATGAAGTAATATATCATAGAAACTATTATAATGATGATAATGACTTCCTTCTTTATTTCTTAATGACATGAAAATATTCAATGAGCAATGTCCGGTAATTAAAATATTTTATTGCGTGCTGAAAGTTTTATGACTCAAATAATAAAAATTGTTATAAATGATATTTTTACACATCAATAGAAAAGAATAGAAACATCAATAGAAAAATTGATCGCATAAATCTTGAAAAACGCTCTCGTTTTATCCGTCGATATTAGAATTTCGACGTCAATTGTCAATCCGTTTTGTTGCTGTTATTACATTGTTTATACGTCACATCTTCTTGTCTGGCGTTATTGCAAGCTCGATGATGCCAGCAACATATTTCATGTACCGGACAACTCACGTCCGCCGGAACGTTTACGCGCTGACGTAAGCATCGCGAATCCAATCACGGAAGTGACTGATGTAGGTAAATCCAACGTATGAGTTGTAATCGCAGCTGCCTCTCTTCTCCGGGCTTACGCTGACGATACCACGGAGATACCAGATGCCGTTCTTCTCGAAGCATAAACCGCCGCCACTATCTCCTTCGCATACACTGGAACCTGATAATTGAGCAATTATTTCTTCATTATGTATGATTAACGATGATGATAAAAGACTTAACGAGAAGCGTATACGCGTATTCTTGTTAATTTACATTGACGAATTACTGCTGTTATTGAAGATACAATATCCATCGTCAATTGATACAATCAATCATAATCTCGTGAAAATTTTACATAAGTGGCGCGGATAAATCTCGCAATTATTTGCACACGTAAACTCACCGTTCAAGTGGCCGGCACAAAACTTGTCGGACGTGAGGAATCCTCGGAAATCTAGCGGCACCGCGGACAAACACTGATGGTACGGCACGAACGGCATGTCAATTTCCTGTAAGCTCTCGGTGGATTCGCCTTTGATGTCTTTACCCCAGCCGACCACCTGAAATCACGAAGTGAGCTCACGCGTCCGTTTTATTTTCCCTTCACATCTGATTCTCCCTTTTTTCCCCTCAGCGCGAACGAAACAAGCCGTGCACTTCGAGAAATTAGATGGCCCGTCCGATCGCATGTAAATTTGCCAGCATACGCGCAACATGGATACGCGATGTAACAATATTCCATGTGCACGGTATCTCGAAGTTTAGTTCAAAATCGTGTCGCTAATGCAGTTAACAACTATTAGTTTCCCGAATTTGCGTACTTTCGCCCGGCTACAAAGCGCCCGTGCAATTAATTAAACTGGGCTAAGGCGGTTAATTAGTCGGTTCTCACGATTGATAGTTGGCTAGTGTTACCTTGCCAGCTTGTCCCACTCGCAGCTGCTCCCGCTCGTACGCGTTGTCCCAGTCCAAGCAGACGGGCCTCACCAAAACGGTCAATTCGAAGGGCGTCATCAGCTTCACCAGACATATGTCGTCGGCAAAATTACCCCGCGCGCCCATATATCTGCCACCCGACCGGATACTCTCCACTAACGATTTCTGAACGTACTCTTCTTTGGCGTTCCAATTGCGGTAATGTTTGCCGGCGGCCACCGCGTACTTGGACGTGTCGTGGAGCTTGTTGAAAACCTCATCGTAAAAGCAATGGGCCGCTGCGAAAGCGCGATGAAACTCAAATAACCAAATATTAGCAATGTTGGCAAATTTACAGTAAACCTGATCAAATTTGCTATCAATATACTAATATTGCTAACATGTTGCTTGCTAAGAAGTGAACAATAAGAATAAATGACTCGCTCGCGCGATAATTTACCTGATACGACGAGATTGCTATTGATGAGAGTGCCGCCGCATACCTGCTCGTAATCGCCCGTACTTTTCTTCATGTAAATGCCAACGTGCCAGGGAAATACCCCTACTTTGGCCTCGAATCCATTCACGATTAAAGTGTTGCCGTGCGCAATTGACGTCCCGCATTCTAATTAAGCAGAACGTTATTGATGTTTCTTTGTGATACGAAGGCGATTACGCAAATCGTGACTCATAAATCGGAAAACAGAAAAGTCTCGAAAGCCATATGATCATGCATGCGCAGACGGCAATTATTGAAGGAAAAAAAATGGAATAGTCGACAGCGTTGAGCGTGCACAGGAGAATGGTTGTTCGTCGAATTTTTTTCGTTTTTTATCTTGTAAATCGGAATCATGCAAATGACAAATATACCTGGTAGACAGCGAAAAACGCGTCGGTCCCATAAACCATCGTCGAGACACGTGATCTCCCTGTAAGCCGGATCGTTCGTTAAAGGTAATTTATAAGATGATTTACAGGCGAGCATAGCCCGTGTACCCGGCAGTATACGTTCGCTACAGGACACCGTTTCTCCCTTGTAACTGCAGGAAATGTCTACGCTGCTGCTGCTTAACGGCGGGCACACTTCTGCGGAGATAAATATCGAAAGAGGCAAATGATAAATTTCATATAACGTCGGTAAATAAGAAGAGTATTGCTTCTGTAAAGATTATCCATCTCCAATAATTAAATGATAACATTAATTAACCGCCGACGAGAACATTATACAAATAAAATGGATTTCCAAGATAAACATCATCTAAGTAGACTTACTAAGACACGATGGCGGTTTGTACCATTCATTGTTGACACAAACGGAAATAGTGTTTCCGCTCAGTATGTAATTGTTTTTACAACTGTAAGTGAGAATGCTGTTGTTGGGAACTATGTCACCAGGACGTTTAATACAACGTGCAGCGCAACCTCCTACCTCGTAACGCCCGCCTTCCGGTTGTTCAGGCAGGACGCAGCCCTCTTGCTTATTCCTGTTTCTATAACTCCACGAATGTATGCATAATATATGCGTTTAACTCCGGGATTTACCCAAAGATAAAAAAAGTGAAGAACAGATTATTAGCAAAGGAATAAAGTCTGAGTCGAAATCCGATTATTATCAGACTTAGTCATCCGACATGCATGCAAATTGGAAAAACAAATAGTAGAGAAATATTAACTCACTCGAAATCAGTACAAAATTTTTCGTCGCTGGAATCGCGACAATCAATTTTGTTATCGCATTGGACACTTTGCGGTAAACACTCGTTACTTCCGCAACGAAATTCGTCATTTCTGTTTGAAAATAATAATTAGAATATCTTTTAAATTGGCGTGAATAAGATACGCATTATTTTGCAGCTAAAATATTGAACTTTTTTAATCAATCCACGAGACAATCGGACGTACCTGCACTGTCGATTTTGCGGATAATTGTTCGAATCGGGTATACGATCGTCTGGACCAACAGGATTTTCTTTATGGCCACTAGGGCGAGGTTTATGAATGGATTCTCCGCTACCTGGATCTGGAAGCTTTTCACCTTCGGTCGGCCTTTCGGGATCTACTTTGTTCCAACCCGGAGGACGTTTACCGTTTAATCCTGGAGGACCGCCGCCAGCTAATCCGGGAGGACCGTTAGCACCTGGCGGACCTCTGCCACCGCCTCCCCATTTATTATGACCCGGTGGTCCGGAAAAACCGTTATTTCCATTCCGCTTAGAATGACCCGGTGGGCTATTCACGGCTGTCGCATACCGATCAGAAGTACCGTACTGAGGCCACGCATAATAATCGTCCTGTATGGTCGCTAAAAGTGTGAAATTTTTATGTAAATCCTTTCATGAATTCTCAAAAGATGCTTCATTGCATATGAAGAACTTTAATGCCATGTGAAAATTTTCGATTAATTGCGTATGAATAAGGAAAAAACGGATAACGTTAATCAAATAAAATTACATCAACAATTTTATTAAGTCGTGGAAAGAAAGAAAGATCTTCCCAAAGAGAAAAAAAATTTCACTGATGATTCAAGATCGGGTTTGTGACGCTGAGTGCGCGCGCGATTACTGCGATCCTTGAATGCAACAAAAACATCTCAATGTAAACTGGTATGAGTATTCATGCTCGCCAAGACTATGAATATTCACTCGCGATCCAAACAGAAATCACATTAGATTTTTCACGAGCTTATTTCTACTGAAATTTTAGATACAAATAAATGTAAATAATAGTAGCTACCAATTATTTAGAGGCTTCTTATTTTGAAAAATTTACATTGCACATTTGCATATCACATTCATAACTATTTGAATGGAATTTTACGACACATCACTTTCATCCACAATTTGAATTGATTACACTGTTCGACTTGCCCGATTATTCGAAGTACATAACATCAAAATGTGACTTTTGATTGCGCAATTAAATCGCATTGCCACGCGAAGTCGCAAACTTCCGCGCTCGTTCTTCGCACGGAACTCCGCGCTGCGCGACCGCCGTCGGAAAACAACAACGGCAGAAGTATAGATCGAAACGTTATGTAAGTTACTCACGCGACGGCAGTGAAGCCAGCAACGACAGAGCCACCGAGAATAAAACGCATGCGTTCATAATTACTGATGCGCGGTCGCCTACACGGGCGATCGTCGCTCATAGTCAAGGAAGAACTGACCGTGAGTCCCCACGTCAGGCCCGATCGACACCCGGAATGCCCCACGGTAACATACAGATTATTTTGCCAACGAGTTTTGCCGGCGAGTGGCATCGTGCCAGGGAAAGGACTTGGCAATGACACCGACAAATTGATAGCAACGGCCTTCAGAGGAAACACGGGTCGATGTCCAATAAATACAAATACTTTGAACGCGTGTTATCGTAAAAACATTTTGTGGTCGAGGAATAATCTCGTCTGTGGTATTTCGATATCTTAACGCTAATTCAAACGAATGATACGCTTAATGGAACTGCATTCCTTCATTTTTTTTTTTTTTTTTTTTTTAATCGTCTTATCTCAATGTATCTCGACGAAAAATTGCATTTGCATCGACTTGGTCTACTCGCATTTTGTACGCCCTTGCATTAGTTCGTCATAAAGAGCATGCGCTCGTTAACACAAAAGTTAGCAACTCTCGCGTATTATGTTACCCGCGATAAGAGTCGATAAATTCAGGCAGCTCGGCCGGAGCAATAATCACGAAAATGAACGCTTTACTTCAGAAACATAGGGCCAAACATATATACAAAGTCCCGGAAGGATTACGCGAACTATGTGCCGACATCGCACGCGAGGTACAATATAAAATTGTTATTTGACTTTCCTTTTACTGGCGTCACGTCAAAGGACGATTAAAATTATTATCTGCTCTGTAAAGGTTCTGCGCTCGCAACCGAGGAATATTTATTGCTTCATCGCCGATTATGTGGAAGCGCTCTTTATCACGCGGGAAAATGCAAAAGGTACCTGCGTCGTTTGTAACAATTTCGCAATATCAGATAATATGTCTTCGTATTACTCAATTAAACACATCCAGATGCTAATTAAAACCCGATGCCAATTAATTGATAATATTTACATACGTATATTTATCTCATAAATCGTTACGTAAATTCGAAAACTGAAAGAAAATATCTGCACACATCATTCTCTCGACAATCGTAAACGATATAATCACGCATTGTAGATCGCGTTTTATAATCGTAATAATTGCAGTTGCGGTGAAAGTCGTAAACAATATTTTACTGGGAAGCCAGGCTATCGTGGGTATACTTCACCGCAGCGGCTTGAGCTTAGAACAGATCGCCCGCGCTGCGCCCAGGATTCAGGTGCGGAATTTACTGTCGCGTGCCAGATAGGGATCCGGCAGTTAAATAATATTTCAAACATTCTTTCCTTCCCTTTTGTTCAGAAGGCATTCCGCGCGTACTTGGACGCGGTAGACATGCGAGCGGCCCAGGTGTGCAATGGTAATTACACAGTGAATTATGTAGAAAAACAATTTTGCAGCGGGTAGATTCGTTGTGCGCGCGCGCGTGCACATTCCTATAAAGCGCAACGAACGGAGTGCATGAGAGAATTTTCCCCCCTTTCGACCACAGACGCGACTTGCGACGCTGAGTCCAGGGTGGAGTTGCAAAGTATCCTACGGGCGACGGGAGTCCCGCTGGAACAGGCGGAGAAGTCCGCCACGATAATACAGGTGCGCACCAATACTACGGCGAGGCCGTAATGGGTCTCTCTAATCGCGACCGCAGCTCTTTAAGAGTCGTTTTCGCTACCATCAATCAGGCCGCTTTCCGCGGACACAAGCGGATGCTGCTAAGCGAGTCCCAGGGCATGATTCAATGTCAGCGCGCGGCAACGAGGACCCTCGAGATCCTGAGGAAGGCGGGAGCTTCACAGGCGGAGGCGTCGAGAGCCGCTATTCTAATACAGGCTACTTACCGCGGATACTACACGAGGAGAAATCTAAAGATGAAAATGAGTGAGATTGCTCAAACTGTTCGCTGATGTGCTAGAACAGTTGCAAAATTGTTTTCACTGCTATTTGCAGTGGCTGCGCGCCCGCAAGAGACGAAAGAAGACGAAGTAAATACGATAGAACCTACGGAAAGCGTTCCAGCCGTAGCCTGGTTAGAGATGATGTATGAGGAATCGGGATTGGAAAGAGCTCACGAAGCTGCGTCCGTTATACAAGTAAATTGAGCAATTAAAATGTATTATATCGTGCCAAATTTGAAGAACTAAACAACGATAATAATCAATTATAAATACAGAAAGCTTACAAACGGTATCGTGAGAAAAAAATTAACGTGCCACGAGTAGAATCACAGAAATCGATGGTAGTAGGAGCTATTCTCAATCATTTGCATCGGAAAGTTTTCGACGAAATCACAACTCGCGAGAACATTCCCACGGAATTCGGTGATCGCGAGGATCTAATGAAAGCTGGCGAGGAACTTCAACGCGCATTTAAAGAGCAGTTGACACGCGCTCGTATGGAGGAGGAAGGTTGGCGACTTTTACTGCGTTTGCAAAATAATTATCATTCTAAATGCGATGTCATAATTACGAAGACTAGAATGTACATTTCGAAAAATTCTAAAGCTATCAACTTGCATAATTTTTTTATGCATTCGGATGTAAAACAGAATATGACGAAGAGGAGCTCGACGAATCGTCTGCGAAACTAGTGGACGACGATGTATACTTGAACGGCGTGGAAGACGTGGAAGAAAATTGGGAGATCGATGTAGAGTCGGAACGTGACGAAGAAACAGACGTGTAGAACTAGCATCAGGGGAACCGAATTTTCCGGGTGGGAAAGACGAGGGTGGATGCTACGAGCAGAATCCTTTCCGAGCACCGGCGGCGGATGAGCCAATTAACATGGAAGCTGCGGGCGAGAAAAGAAACGAGACAACGAACACGCGCAACGGGCTCAAAGAGCGCAGCAAGCAAAAAGCTGCCTCGGGAGGCCGCCGAATGCCGGAGACAACGCGGCTTTTAATGCACATGCTTACGTTCGATAATTCCGTTAACGTGCCGTGCTTTCGTAACGAGCTTAAAATTCTCCACCGGACGGAAAATGGCCCCCGGACACGCGTACTACAAGCGAAACGAGCTAAACTGTCTCGCCTATGTAACGTTAATTTAATTCGAGCGATACGAGCTAAACCGTTTCATGAGCTCGTCCAAATTTGATTTGCATAATTTTTATTCTCGACGTTTAGCGTTTTAATACTCCGCTACATAATTTCACGTTTAATACAGTGAGCAAGTAATATCTTAAGTAAAAAAAAAGAAAATTTAACAGAATGGAAAACACGTAAAGCACGGTTTTGAATTTTTCGTGTGCACCGTTGCACGTAGTATTTCTCGCCCCAAATAAAAAAAAAGCGTATAAAAAGAGTAGTAAATTGAAGTAAATTTTAATTTCTTTTTTAATTCCGATGTCTCTCGCGACCAATATTTAACATTAAAAATAACTAGAAAACAGGAAAGTTGGTGTAAAGAGCCGTAAACGTGTTTACGAAGCGGAATTGAATTAGAAGGCGTGTCTGCAAGGCGCTCGACTTGAGCAGCGGTGAGCGGCAGCCGACGTCTCGTTCAAAAGGGACTTGAATCGGTCGAATTCACCCTCCGGCGGCGTGTGTCGATTGCATCCAGGATTGCACGCTTTCGCGGCCGTCCCGCAGCTCTCGCAATGTGCTCGGCAAACGTGTTTCACGCTCGGTCCGTCGTGCGGAACCGCGTTCGCGCTCTCAAGCGACGACTCCGGCTGATCAATGATTTCCGAAGTCAACGATTTGTCACACTCGTCCCTATCCCCCGTCCTGTCGCCGGATCGAGCCTCATCGCATCTTCTGCCGGCACGACACCTCCTGCCGGTTTTATATTTTTCAGCAAGGATGCACATGGAGTCCTTGTGATTGATAACGGTTACGCCGTCGTCCTCGTCGTCGTCATCCTCTTTCTCGCTGCGCTCTTCGTCGTTTCGCTCACAAGAGGCAGATATTATTCCAGAGTAGTTCTTCGAATAGCACTGCCGCGCGTACAATCGACTATTTTCGCCTTGCATCTGATCGCGCCAGCTTTTGTGCTGAGCTTTCCCGCCGGAGATACCGCGCCCGTGCGTCTCGCATCTGCAATATGAATGATGCGAGGAGAATGAATTAAACAGAGATTGTAGCTACAGCATTTTCATCTTCTCAGTCACGTATCTCTGCTTCTTTTCGGAAATAACGAAAGTGTTCCAGATCTGACAGAAATACGCGAGAGATAAATTTCTTTCACACTTCAGACTAAATAAATAGGATAATTTTATTATTAACTCCTTTGCGCTCGTGGACGAGTGATCGCGCTGCTGACAACAGCAGTGCTGATGGAGGCAATCGTGACGATGATGCTCGCGGTGATGATGGCATCCATCGCAGCAACGATCGTATGACGATTTCAACAGGTCCAGGATGGGCTCTTTGCGCGGATAACGCTCGCATTGACATCGCCAGGATGACTCCTCGATTTTTCGATGGCACGTCAAAACATCCTGCTTCGTCCACGAGTCGTGACCTCCAACGACACTCTCCTCCGCGTTGCCGTCAAGATCGATGGATGTTTCGTGACAACTCGTCGACGCGAACTCCTTACCCTTGTCCCCCGAGGAGTCGCCGTATGCGACCTTGTCGTTTCTCTCGCGAGGTGCAGAATCGTATGGAAGATTTACGGGGTCCGGGCTCGAGCATGCTTTTGATGGGCAACGCGCTTTACGATGGTGATAGAATGTCGAGCGCGCGGATTGCGGAATCCATTCCATTGTTTTAGTGGCTCCGTCGTCCGTTGCTCTCGACGTTATGTCGCACCTGCGTTCGTGAACGGGAGTTACTTTATGACAAATTTTAATCGCAGAACGCTTTACTTTTTTTATACCAAACTTTAAAAAGTGGAACGTATTGAGTCTATCTTTTTTGTCACACAATCGATGCAAACTATAATTTATATATTATTTTATACAAACGTGTACGAACAGCTAACACAACGATGAGTAAAATTATTGCTAAAACATTTGTAGACAAGTTTTGTGTTCTCGAGAATCAAAGCCGTGTATATCGCGAAAGAGATTGCAAATAGAGGTAAACCTATCTCGGTCGGCCAGTTTTGCAAATTCATTTTTCTGATCGGCGTCCGAAACTGCAAACTCTCGACTCGGCACAGTATCGATTGCATCTCCGCCGCTGCACTCGTCCCGCAGCCCCGAAATGTCCTCGCTACCGTTTCTTGTCCGGCAGCAACTACAGCTGATTGTATTCTCCTTGCTGTGTGAATGGTCGTAATCGCGGTTCCGCACGCCCGTCGGACATACGTGATCGGATCTTGAGTTACACGCGCGTTTCACCAGCGAGGAGCTCGATTTCGCTTGATTGATGGGCCCTTCGCGACTCGGTGCGGTTTCCGTCTGGAAAGGTACATCCGTCAGAGGCGCATTAATAAATTCTCGATATCAGTTGACAGGAATCGTGATGCGAAATGGAGGAAATGGAATCTACCGTACGGTTCAAATAGATGGGATCGTAAAAAACGTCGAATTTTCACTGAAAATTCGATACGTTATAGATGCTTATTATTATTTATATTACGTAATCACATGATTTTATTGAAAAAAAAGCTTTCTTTGATTGAATCGCTAACCTTCGCATTTTCGCATATACATTCGACGGTGCTTTCGAGGCCGAAATTCTTGGGAAATTTACGACGGGCACGTCGAAAAGCAATCGCCGCTGCGACAAGCTGATGAGACGACGACGGACAAAGCGACATTACTGAAAAGCAATTATAGTTGTTGCGAACATCCCTGTGATGTGGTAACCGATTCGATAGCCCTGATTACAACGATCGATTCTGGAGACTGGGCTAGTCGAGATACTGCTCTTGTCGCCTGCTGTCCAACCAAGCGCGAAGTATTTCCCACCTAGAGAAGGGTTACTGATCGATACCACAATCGATATGTACAGTCTGTCAAATCACGCGCAAAATATCATCATTTGCGTTATCTTCATTCTTGACAATTTACGATGGCATTTGATCATGTCGAATTTCTAACTTTGTGCAAAATGTTTCAAACGTCCGCTAATAGAATAAAACGTGCTTATAGAATTATGTCTTAAGATGATTACAACTAGAATCTATTTTAAGAATTATATTTCGAAACAGAAATCAGCTTCCGATATTTCGCATTCGGAAAAGAATTCGCTGCAGCGACGACACGTGTAATGCTACTTGGTAAATTAAACTTCCTCAGAGTATCGGTCGCAAAACTTGAGAGCTGCGAGTTTTCTAACGTAACGGGTAGCAGACCGCCGGATCCGGATAACGAGCGAGTCTTGCGGGCCGGCGGCGGCTTTATCGAATTTGTATCGAGCGGAATTTCATCCCCTCCCACTCACTGCTTGCCGTGGAACACGGTCTTGGTCAGAATTTGATCGCCGCTGCTGTTCCTGCCCCTGTTCCCGCTAACCCGACGGCGTTTAACGGGGCTAATTGCGAGGATTGCTTGCTGCAAATGGAAACGGTGCGGTTTTACTGCTGTTTGCTAGTTCGTGTCGACGCGGAAAACTGTAACCCGTTTCGCATGCGAGAGAGAGAAAGAGAGAAGGCAATAGGACGCACAAATCGTCGATGTAAATCGCTACATTAATTAGCAATAACGATTTATTGTTGGTTTTTGCATAAAAAAATCGCATACATAGTCATACGTATTACTTATCTATAAGTAAATGGAGAAATGTGATACATTTTCCGCCATGAGGTAAAATATAACGTGATTATTCACGTGCAAATACAAAACAAGTGATCTTTAGATGCACAATGATAGAACTGTTCCACAAGATAATAACGCTGTCTTTCTCGTTATATGCATATATCTACTATACAAGCCACGCTTCACACGTATCGTCGAGCTCCTCAATTAATAAGTAACTATCTCGCCGGTACGGCGTTATTTTTTATTATATGCACAATCTTATTCAATGAGAAAAATATCTTGCATATCTCTCTCAATGGATAGGATTTAAAATGTACAGTATAAATAATCTTCAACATTTACATATTTTTACACACGCTCTATTTTCCTTCTCACAGAACAAATTATTAAATTATAACAGCTATAAGGATTGTACAAATAGATTGTTAAATTAGAACTATTATAAGGAACGATATTCGTGATGCAAGTTTTTCACAAGTTCTAACTTTTCACACTGATATCAGATCTTTGTAGCATACTGCTATGTTATTACGTCACCCGTTGAAACGGCGTCACATTTGGTAAGTCGCGTTCATAAGTCATAGTTAAAATATCGGAGCAGGAAATGCCGCGGTGGTTTTGCAATTTTCAATTCATCCACGGTGGACAGGATGTAGGCGGTTGATATGTCTGCGAGATTGGCACTTGATAATGCTGCGCTGCTTGAGAGAGATGCTGCGGCCGCGGCTGTTGATGATGCGGCGGCGGTGGCGGTGGCGGATTGCAAATTGACTGCATCAAAGGGTGCGCGTTGTAAGGCGGCGGTTTCGTCGTATACGGCGGCATTTGGTTGTACTCAATGTTCAACGATTGCTCTAACACGGCGTTCTGAGTCGGGGAACGATTACCGTCAGCGAGACCTAAGGACAGCAGCACCACGTCCTTGAAAGTTTTCAAATGAAAGAAGAATTACGATGATATTGGATCTTTAATTTATCGTATGCCGAGGAAAAGTTCATACGTATAATCATAAAGAGCCGATCGTAACGATAGATATGTATCATATTTAATGCTCACAAGACATCACATGAAAATAATCAAATAAAGTTTACACGATGAGTCAAGCAAAGGGCTTACCTCTTGGCCTGATCTGAGGCGGAGGCATATTGATAGGAGGTAATCCCGGGCAGACTGCGGGAGGTTCTCCGTCTCTCGGAATCGGCGGTGGTCTACCCCAAGGAACTCGCACGTGATGATTTTGCCACGGCGCCTGCGGCGAAGGCGGGGGCGGTAGAGGTGGACCGTTTCCGACATGGATATTCCCAGATTCCGCCATTACATTCTGCTCATTTCCTACTTGCAAAATATATCATGCGCTGGAGTGGTGCAATAAATGGGAAAGCTTTCATACGCTATATATATATATATGCCATTTCATATGCGTGTCATACCTGAAGACAGTCCTCCGGGCTTTTGATCCAAGCTCCGTTTCTCACCTAAACGATTAAAGATGCATTATACGTAGAGAAAGATACGATGTATAGCCTTAAATAACTATACACAACATAGTGTTGTGTTTAATATGGCAAATTATGCGATGAAATATTGTAATGTAAAAAAAAAAATTTTTTTAATTTATCATATTCAGCGTAATTAATCTTGATGATTCCAATATCTGTCAAACGATATTGTCAATCATGAACACAAAATATGAAAGCAAACGTTTTCTGAATTTTGATGCAAATCTAATCGCAAAAGACAGTTGCCAAAGTTGTATCCATATTACAAGAAGACTGCTGCCGGTTTTCATCTTCCGCTTGAGAAATCTCACTGTAGCAATAAAAAGGAATTTAGTTCTCTAATTCGAGTCTTAATCTTATAAGACTAAATTAGACAATATTTCATGCCATTAACTATTATCGAATTAGTGGAGCGATTTGGCAATCGCTATTAGATTCTGAAAGCAAGCAACGCAATTTTTACATTTTTGTGTAAATTAGATGCTTTAGATGATTTACCGCTTATCAGTTCCACTAAGAATCTGAAGTCACATTATTTGCTATCTGTAAAATAAATTTATTCGTTAACACTATACTTTCAAATTTCTTCCGCATTTTCTGTAGCACGACTGCTTTCCATTAGGTCACTGCAACAACAAAGATGTCACTTACAAGTGATGTTATGCACACAGATCATGTTATTATTCTTTTTAGATTCCGCGAGTGTAGATATATTTCGCGTATTAACAATATTATTTTATCTATATAATAGCAAATATATATATTTATTCAAATGCAATAGTCATATGTATCCTTCCTGGGTAGTATAATCGGACGAAGACGCGTTTAACCTAAGAAATATAAAAGTCCAAGTATATTAAACTTAAAATAGTAACATTAAAAATATATATATGTAATAGTCTTAACAGAATCCTAATAACAGTAAGCATAGTTAATACTGGATAAACAAACACTGAACTGGAAAATCGCAGATTACATTTGCATCTGAAAATGCAAATTTATTTAAGAAAAAAGACATTGTAACGAAAGCATTCAAATGAATATACTTGAGATCATCTTCGCGATTGTATATAACACGTGCAATGCTTTTTTTGTCTAGTCTAAAATAATAATAAATAAATTGAAACATAATTATATATCAAAGCATTCTACGCAGTATAAGATTATAACAATCCATGTTACTTCCGGATGTCCGTCTCCGCAGGTATCCTCAACAAATGCATAAAAAAGCAGTTTGCTAAGATGTAAATTAAAAGATCAAGAAAAAGTTATATTATGCTTACCACAAAATATTATTTACATTAATAAATATATTACAGTCTAAGAGTATTAAGAAAACAATGCTAGATACCTATCTGAAATATTTTTTATTTTCAAAATTTTAATATTAGAGATTTGTGGTTTTTTTCTCCAAACTAAATCTATATTAACATTATAATTATATCCTGTGATCAAAAATATGATTGCCAACAACAAAATTGTATTCAAGAAGGAATCTAGAATTGAATTAAAAAGTAAACATCCCTCAAGAATGCAATCTTTTTGCTGGTATATATATTTTTCGTGTTGTACTTTTTTTAATTTCGAAAAGATATCCAGCACTTTTTCAAACTAAATACTCTTAGTTACAGACCTGGGTGTGGAGGTGGCATTAGCATCTTGTTTCGATCTCCATGTGACAGACCGGCAGGTGTGGGTGATGGACCGTGTAAGACTTGCTGCTGCCGATCACCTTCTCTGCTTAAACAATGCAGGTGCGTATTATTAATTCCAAATTAATGATTGTAGAGAAACATTTCAAGCATTAAGACAAAAATCACCTGATGCACACCCTTGGATACTTCTGAAATATGGAAAATACCTGGTTTTACCAGATCACAGTTAATGATGTTGAAACTTACGTTAAAACGTTCTTAGGAACGTAATTGTAATGTCACAGAACATTACAATTATGTTAATTTGTATAATTATATGTTCGGTTGATCTATAATTTATCTACAATAATTTTTAGCTGCTGTTCCCCGCAAAATAACTTTATAGTCGCATTCCATCTCTTTTGGCTTATCACTAAGAGAACATATAATTAGTGATTCTGGCAAAAGCTGTATTTAGTGATTCCAATGATGTAGAATTGTGGATAACATGAGGAAAATGCAAGTTTATTATTATCTTCGCGTTATATTCGCAAAGATAATAAAGTTGCTTCATATTTTTTTAAAAATCTATACAATCATACAATCCAACGAAACAAATAATATTCTGTGTGAAAGAGCAAGATATATCCATGACTATAAAAATATCGAACGTTTGATAACGTGAAAAGTTTCAAACTTACCATTAAATTTTCAAAGACGAAAAATAATTTACGGATGGATATATCTGGATCTTACAATCAATGATTCTTGCTTATAGTTATTGACTTACAAGATGTCAGAAACAGCAATGATATATCTGTGAATAAAAAATATTTTCTATTACAAAATCTCATAGACGATTTAGATTTTTATTTTCTGTATGCGCTTTTAAAACTATTGATATGCCTCATTAATGGTAATGCAAAAGCAGGTTTCTGTAAGAAAACAACATAATGGCTTACATTTCCTTCATGTAACTCTAGAATAATTTATAGATTTGCGTTTGCTACAAGTGAAGCAGAAGCAATCTAAAGCAATTGTATCTTTATCAATAGTTTTCTGTGTATTGATAAAGTTTTAATGCTCAATTCAATATTTATTACACGACTACGCTGATATCCTATGATATCCTATGATTCTGGAAATTATCAACTCTTTTAGTAGTACTTATTTAGAATTTTATACTTGGTAAACCTGCTTTATATATTCAAGTATACAGTTTTTTCTCATTTACGGTCTACCAAGGTATAGCTAAACATATAAAATTGCTACGAAAGTTACATTAACTTGTATTCCTTACATTATGCAGCTAATATATGATACAACTATTATTCATATAAGGAATACATAACGTAACTTTGTCAAACTTACATTAATTTATACATTATAGTACCGCTCTATAGATAAAAATAATTATACTCTCTTCGACTTACCCTGTGCCATGACGTTGCGCGGGCAATGGCGCACATTGATATGGTGGTGGTTCCTGGCAACATATATTCAAAGATTTTTTTACATAACTACATGAGAGTTTCTTTGACATGTTTACATCCACAAACGATACTTTACCTGACCTCCATCAACGTCTGAAAACCTTCTCTTAAGTCCGTGCGATTTTTGCTGCTCCGGCGAATCGGGCTTCTGCTCGAATTGCTGATGCGGAGGTTGCATTGTGTAATGTACTTGCGCAGGTATATGACCGTTTTGATATTGTATGTGCGGGTGATATTGTATTTGAGCTTGCGGTGGAGGTACGTTGTGAAGAGGTATATTCTGCGGCGGCATTTGCATCTATAAATAATTCAAAAAGTTATCGCATTAAAAAATGTATCTTTTTCACCTACAATGGAAAGCAAAGATACCAGGTATCTAAGCATCGTTACCTGCAATTGGCCTTGCGGTTGTGGTTGTTGAGTTTGATAAAGCCATGGAGCATTTTGCGGTGGAGGCGGTTGCGTCGGTGGTGGCACGCTGGTAAGAATGTTCATAGAATTAGGCATCTGACCGATCGACGGCGGCGGTACTATTTGCGGAGGTGGTACTGGCTGCGGCAACGGCCCTTGCTCCACCGGACCATCTTGTTGATGCTGAAGCTCACTGCCAGGAGGGAGCGGCGGTTGCTGATGATGAGGAGATTGAGCATTCGGAACTAGGAAAGTCTGCGCGGATGGCGGAGGTACTTGTAAATGGAACGGTGGCGCGTGACCTTCGAATTGTGGAGGTATTATGTGCTGAGCGACAGTTTGTGACTGTTCGTGATTCTGCTGCAGCTGAGGCGGAACGATATGCTCGCCGGGTTGTAAAACAAACTGCGTTTGCGACTGCGACGCGGGTGCCTGTACCTGTTGATATTGTATCTGGTAGGTTTGCGGTACTGGAGGGGGCGGTTGATTTGGCGGAAAGTTCGGCGGCGGAAAGTGGAGATGCAACAACGGTGGTGGTGGTTGCTGCGTTATGTTGATCGGCGACGCAGGGGGAGGTTGTTGCAGATTGACATTAACAGTTTCGATAACTCCCTGCGATGGCGTAGCGGGTCTTTGTATATTCGGCTGTGTATAGACGTACGATACTGCACTGCTCACAGGAACATTACTACTCGTTATGAAACTTTGCTGTGCGGGATTCTGCGGCGGAGGTTGACTCATGACATACATTTGCGCCACAGGCTGTGGGGAGGACTGCGATCCCGGTTGAATTCCTTGAATTTGTAGTGGTTGGCCAGGATGTATCTGATACTGCACTTGATGACTTACTGTTGATGGAGGACCGATTAATTGTACTTGTCCAACAGGTGGTGGTTGCATGAAAGTTTGTATTTCCTTTAATTAGAACGTTTTTACATAAGATTTATTTCCTATTAGCAACTTAATAATAGTAAAGTGTCTAATTTCAATTTAATTATATACCTGAGCTTGTGGAGGTGGAACTAATGGTCCAGTATGAGGCGGTATGTGCACTCCTGGTGGGGGGACTGACACACCAGGTCCTGGTGTACCGGCCACGGTAGCCGTGAGAATTGTTGCGGGTAATGTTACAACATTACTTTGCGAATGTTGTATAATATCTATTGAATAAGTCTTATATGAAAAAAGTATTTCATCACATTTTTAATAGGTATTTAAAATATGTTATCACCTTGATGTTGTATTGCAACTACATTTGGCTGGCCTAACGTACCAATGTTCATAGTTTGGAATTGGGCTGTAGAGAGAAAAATACATACAATTTATATTCATATAATACAATTTTTTAATTTTTTTTTTTAATTAAATTAAAAACAATAAATACATACCTTGTGGTATTTGAGACTGTTCTATAACTTGCTGAGGTTGTACTGGTGGTGGCTGTTGCTGAATGTAAGTTTGCAATTCAGATTGTATTGTCTGTATTAAGTTAATAGCCAATTGTTTTGCATTTTGCAATGCCTCTAGTTTTGGATGCCTTTGGAAACAAGAATCATATTTTATTAATCATAATTTATCTATTTAATTATTAAATAGTATAAAATCTTAAGTATTCTTACTCTATGTACAAATGGAGCGGCTCCGGAGATTCCATTCCCAAAACTGGGTCAATAAACTGAGATCCTCTACCCCTTAAAGCTATATTTGCTCCAGTTTCACCTCTAATGTACATTAAATTTGCATCGCTAATGCCTAATATTCGCCCTCGTAAATCAAAGCCTTGTGGTGCATTCTCGATACCAATGCAAATTTTTTCCTATTAATTTGTAGAATATGTCAATGTTAATACATTTAAAAAACTGTAATTACAAGTGAAATGAGGTATTATTTACCACAGTTGTAACTCCAGAATGTAAACTCATAAGAGGTGGTGGAGCATTTGTAAACCTGCTTGGTCTATTTAAAGAACTTTGATGTTCTGTCTTAATAATTTCGTTAATTTTCTGTATCGCCACTGTTTTACATAAAATATTTATTAAGAACGCATCTTTAATTTATATTACTAATCTAAAAGAAAAAGATACAATACGTACAATCAACATTATGTTTTGTATGTCCTTGTATATAAAGGTATAAAGGCCTTTCATTTGGACAGCGTAGTTTGTCTTGTTCTGTCATAAAACGGCCACGTGTCGATACAGTTGCTCCTACAAATTAGTATTATATAAAATATTGGTCGATATACAGAAATAACTTGCAATAATATAACCATGCAGATATACCTGAATATGAATTAATTTCATCCTGTATGTAACCTTTGGTAAGTAATGTTCTAGCACTGGGTGGTGTTTCATTAATCTCAAATTCCCATGTGTATGTTTCTCCATTTTTAAATGCTGCGTTTGATGTTGTTATCTAACAATAGATATCATATCAATGTTCAACAAACAATAATCCAAGACTGAAGCCATTGTAGCCATATGTACATAATATTGACATACCTTATTACTGGAATCAGATCCTCTTAATTTTCCTTTAGCCATAGAGATAAAATATATACTACTGGAAGCAATGTAGGACAACTCTCATGACTTCAACATTTTCATAAACTGTAGAAATAAAAAATAAGTCACAATAATGGTTCTAGATAAAAAGAGAAAACGTAACAATTTGCATCAATATGCATCACAATGATTCACCACACGTCAAAGTTAATAAATCATTGGAACAGTAGGTTATGTGCTAATATGAAGTAGCTTGTTAATTATATGTAGAATACATAACTACCTGGTTTTAAATAGTTAAGTTACATTTAAGTGTACGGCAATCATTTTTTGTCACGTACAGGTACTTAAATATCGCTTACAAGATAATAAAAAGCTCACTCAATTGTGCAAACCATTCGATCGTAACTAATGTCACTGGACAGCATCAAATGCCACTACTCGGCACTGCAATCAACTGCAACTGCCGTGCACGACATCTATTAAGATAGACATAAAGTAAGGAACTATAAAAAAGCACAATGAGAATAGGTATATTACATAAACAACTGTAATTATTAATGTAAAAATATACGGTAAGATTTATTTTTTATATTATCGTGGAATTTAGATTACGTTACCTTTTCAAAATTATGTTCTTTAATCCAACATTGAAAATTCGATTCCTAAACATAAATATTCAAGTTTGCAACTTACGTCATTTCTGATTTATTTCTTATCCATATGCTTTTCTTAACACTGCTGAGCTCTTAAAATTGATGTCAGCATCTTATTTCAGTTTAACTTACCTCTTATCAAATATTATCTGGCTAATGATAGAAGATAAACAGTATATTTTCAAAAAATACACTTTTTTATTATAATACACCCTAGTTTTTATAAAACAATAAGACATATTGAGGTAACAATATTAATATTACAAGAAATATTACAAGAAACGTATTGTGGAATAAATTTATTTAATTATTTAACATTACATGTATATTTTTCAAATTTATAATTAAATACAATCACAAATAAAATCATATATATGCACTATTTAAAAAAAAACAATATTAGATTGACACACATCTATGAAGTCTGCTTATCTCTAAAAATGCTAAGGATAACAATGTTATCTCATTAGCTAGCACCATCCATTCTTAACAAAAGTCCAAATTCAAAGATATTTTCTTCAATTATTAAATAAATATATTATAAATTTTATCAAAATTGAAATAAATTGTCGAATAAATAAAGATATATTACTTTGTTAGAGAATATTTAAAGTGGTGTTTTATATTACTTTCGTTTGACTATTTTTCGTACATATATAGCAACAGGATCTCAGGTTCTATATTACGCTCCGCACATTACAACTACCAAAATACTAATTTTTACTAAAAAATACTCCATGCTTTAGGCTTTATTGCGTTTACTTTTGCATTGAAGTGCTTTATGTTTTACTTCTTATTTTAAATTATCTTGGTATACATATTCCGAGCGAAATGTTTAGGCAAAATCAGAGTTTGCACATGATTGATCTCACTTGTACTTAGTCACGATCTTTTTAACATTGTTATACAACTACATTTTTTTGGTTTACACAGATTTCAAAACGATAGAAAAATAGATTGTACTCCAATTTTAAACATTAATCTTATTTGTAGAATTAATTAATAATTAACATATCAACTATAGCTGATATATCCAAATAACTTTAATATATAAATTCTGAAAAAGACGAATAATATATTCTGTATTTGCTAAAAAAAAATGTCAAAATGCATATATGTAATTGATATACATATAGCAAATGCTAAAATTTGCATATTTTTTAATTACTTCAATTTATCAATCATAATTTCCCAATTATTATTGAATGAAGTCACAAGGCATTGTCTATAAAATTATGAAAAAATCTTGGGTTGATTGCTTTGGCATGGCCTTGGATCATTTAAATCAAAGCACTGTTTTAAACAATCACAAGATATATAATTGACAAAATCCAGCATACTTTTTACAGTCTAACATAATTTAATCTTTGATAGTCAGCCAAGCGAGTATGAGGAATGTCATTATTATAGATGTCAAAGATATTACGTGTAAAAGATAAGCTCGGGTATTTGACCTTCCTCAGTGGATGTGCCATTATTATCTCCCATCTCGCTACTAAATTCGAATTTCACCTTTCCATTTCCAGAATCACAATCCACCAACACTGTTTTTAATCCTTTTGTGCCATAGTATGAATATGGCCCCTGAAATAAAAATAATATATACTTATAAGCCACGTAGATGATAATAATTAAATAAATCAGCAAGATATAACTACCTTAAAAGTTGCTGATGCCGTATAAATCGTATTTGGTAAGATTTCCGCTAACTCTTTAAACATTAGACGGTATGTGTACTTTGATCCATCACAGCTAAAACTTGTTGCATTTGTAGCTATCACTTTTCCCGACGCAGTATGAATTAATTCCACTGATACTTCATATATTGCCGGTTCTTGCGTGCTACCATAAACTCCATAGCCAATAAGAAAAATACGCCTATCCACGCTAAATCTGTGAGAGTTAAGATTTTATAACATTAGTCAGATATTTTTGTAGTTAATCATATGCACAAAATTTGAATCATAATTACCGAATACGATCACTAGTTCCAGAATATCCCCATTTACTTTTAGTGTGTTGAAATCTACACACAGTTTGTTCCTTGCCTGTCATACAGCACCGTGGCATCGTTTGAAATCCCACCGAAGGTTTAGGATTCAATATGAAATACGAGAATAAAGATAGGACCTATAAAAGTTATTTATTAAATGTCAAGCATGTTATAAATTTTTAGTAATCTTTAATCTAAGTGTGAAAACCTTTTTTGACTGTAATACTCACCTCTGAATAATTTAATAAACCAGATTGTGCCGGACCAGCCGTAAACTCCTCTTTTGACATCAGTGGAAAACGAACCAAGGACAGAGCATTACCTAGGACCAGACGTTGATTCTCTGGAGTAACTGGTAATTGGTGTCTTCCACATTCAGCCTCTGACCACCTAATCATAAAATTAAGGTAAATAAAAATTAAGATTATTTAGAAATAATGTAGACTGAAGAATACATTTTACAATATTGCAACATACCTTAAAACAGCCTGGAATAGTTTAGATTCCCTAACACGAAGAGTATCTCTTTCTAAGACAATCATCAATGTATCAATATCAATATCTGTGAATCCATCTGCATTAAGAGCCTGAGTTGTGAATCTGTCTATGGTATCTAAGCATACCGAGGCTAATTGTGGTTCATCAAACAGACGAGCTTGCGTTAAGAGTAGGAAAGCATTATCACTTGTTAAATTATTCTTTAAAAAGTCAACACAATGTTTTTCTAAAGCAGATACCGCATATTTCTTAGCTGTATATAGCGTTGTCATCACAGTTTCTGGATCTATCTGTATTTCATCAGTGTATAGAAAAAGGAGCACTGCCAAAAATGCAGCAGGCTCTACATCAGGTACTTCTATTTCTGAAGAAGCTGTCGCAAGCGTTCCATTAAACATTGCATCAAATACAGCACTCCCAGAGGATAGGACTAGTTTATGAGCTGGTATACGTTGTTGTTGCGCTCCTCTTCCTACCAGGAAAGTCACGTCTGACAGTATTTCATTGTTAAAGAGGAATACAATCCTTTCACGCATCGTTGCCTTTGTACCCTGCCAATTATATGTAACCACAGGTTGATTTTGCATGGTAGAATTTTCAACATTATTCTGTGATCGCCCTTCCATATATGAAGTATTCGCTGCATTAGTGGGTGGTCGGCTAAAAAATTCAAAGATAACAATCAATCAATTAATAAACATTATCATCAAAATCACAGTAAATATCAAGTTAATAGTTGGAACAATTTAGATATAAACAATATTAACTTAATATACATCCCACCCTATATAAAACACTTTGAAACTTGACAGGAATCACTGTGAAGTTGCTGCTTACTTATCGCCGTTCGAGAACGAGGTCTCACTTCGTGCGACAGACGAACTCGCCGGTTGGTCCTCGTCGCCAACGAAGTTGAGCGCACGTCGTGCCCGGGAAAGAGTGATATTCCGTAGCGGTTCCCGCGACGACGTCAACGAAGACAAGGACGACGACGATGCTCCATTACTGCTGCCGCCGACGCTTCCGCTGGCCGCTGTCACTGCGTTCTCTGTCGCATCGCGTTCGTCCTCGCCGGGCGTCGCCAGCCGCAGATTTTGCAGCCTCGACGCGACGTTTGGCACGTCGTTCAGGGTGGTCTCCGTAGACATATTCGCACACGAGACGTAAAACTTGCCGAGGTACTGCCCCGTCTCATTTAATCGCGTCGCTACACGTCAACACAAGCGGCGGTGAGCGTTTGCCAAACACGATTATTCTCTCTCTGTTGACGATCGCGATCAATCGCGATCGCGATCCTCTCCAACCAAGCCGGATTCCTACTCAATGCAAAGACGCCGCAGAACGACAGTGCACTACAGCGACATCCTACTGCATTCCTTTCTGCTCGTTCTCCCGACCATTTACTCTTAAGGAAGTGGAAGGAATAAATTTGTAAGTTTTTATCGTTGAATAATCCATTGTAAATATGTCAATTATACTTTCTGAAATATATCAAATAGTTCTGATATTTATTAAAATATCTTTTTTCTATTTTAAATGAGATGCACTTCTGTTCGTTTTAGTTGCGATTCTGCACTTATTTTTCTTTTCCTTCTTCTCTTACCAAAGACTGAACGCGTATCCATTTCATGTTAAGTGCAAAAGATTCAACTAAAATGGACGCACCGAATTACTGCAATATAATTGGTGCGCTGCTACTACGGTGTCGGTACAAAAATCCGCCACAACGACCGCGAAATCGTATTCACATCGCTCTATATTTTTCATCGATGTTATTGTTTACAGGTAAATGTGGCATATGAATAATTATATATTACATAAAGAATTTGTCATGTGAACGATATAAATAATGTCACGATTTCAGTATCGACGATGCGCTTCTTCGTACCTGGAATTGGTCGAGATTCTTTTCACGAATTTTACAGCATTATTTTTGACCAAAGAGCATCAAAAAGGCAATTAACATCTATCCTTGCTAGGTATACATTGATCTCTTTTCTATCTCTTTTCTAATTATTAACTATCTTATTTATTCTGTATGTAATAATTTACCATATCAAAATTTCTAACCTCTAACCTTTAATAAAATATTTCGCATTCTATTTTCACATTAAACAGTAATTCTCCTTGCGTCTTCAATACTTTTTTCGCTTTTTCTAATTAAAAATTAAATGTAGATAATTGCATGTAAAGCGTAAAAGAAGTTAAGTATGAAAAGTGTACTAAACGAACACACCTAATTCCTGCAATATGATTGGCGCGCTGCTACTACAGTTTAACTTTATTCGCGAATCAGAATCTTCCATTTTGAACGTAGTCTAGCTCTTAAACGCGCTGCGACAACGACAAGGTCACATTCGTATTTCTCAGAGTCTAAAGGTAAATTTTGCTCACGATAGATAATCGGATATAGCTCATATATAGTTTGTCGTAACATATATGTCGCGTGCAATTGATATTATACGGCAATATTATGATTTCAGTATCGATAATCCGCCTTTTTGTGCCCGGAATTGGTCTTCGCAAATTTCACGGCGCTAGTTTTGTCCGAGGAACATCGAAAAACAACTGGCCGATACACGATCATCATCAGGTATGCATATATTCTCATTTTATTGTTATTAATTGTATTGTCGATTGTACTTTGTGCAATAATTTACTAATTATTAACCAATTATTTCATCAATTATTTCTAACCTCGCAATTATCATCAAGTATATATGTATATACGTGTCGGTTACATTTTACAATTTATCTATTATTTGATAATTTATCTTTTTACTATGTATATTTATTAAAATATTTTTAATACTTTATTCTTAGATGGAATAATTATTATGATTAGTAGTTTATTACTTTGATATTTTAATATTATTTCCGCGGCATTGGAAAACTCCATATATTAAACAAATTTTTATATTTAATTTATTACTTGTAACATTAAAATGTTTGTTGTACACACATGACACTGTTAAATCAGTATCGCAATTTCAACATTTTAATATTTTTAATACTAAAATTTTATTTCAAACTTTTTAATTTTGAATTTTATTTTTGCATTAAAAATTATTTCAATTAATAAATGACAGTTTCAGTATTTTGCGTAGCAATATTATTAATCTTACAGAAGTTTATGCTATACATTGTCACTGTCTCAACAAATATTTTGGTTAAAATAAGAAATAACAAGCATGGATAAATACACATGATAACATAAACCAGACATTCTTACTAAATACAAAAATTTATTCGCGACTACGAGTTTTAGTAAAAAGTTGATTAAAAATTATTTTCTTTTGATGATAATATAAAATTAAACAAATTTTTCACTTGAAAAAAATCATACTGTAAGGAAAATACATCATTAAGTCAGGTTTTATAACAAGTGTATTAATGACGTTTATGTACAATGTTTACACGATGATATAGAAAACATGTCCGCATATTTTACGGTGTTATATATAATACAACAAATATTATCGACTTGAAGTCACTTAAATTATATTAATACAGCAATTATGGTGTGAAGAAATATATAATTGAAAAACCATGTTAAGTTATAATTACTTTGAAACATACATAAACATTATTACATAAAATAGCAAATTGCTTATTTCCCATAAAAATATATACAGCTCTGCATCATAGATTTCTTCAAAGTTAATGCTAGTTAATATAGAATTATTTTATCAGTACGTGTAAATTAAAAATATAAATTTCCACAAATCTGCATTGCACATCACAATAATGCGTAGAGCGTAGAGATTAAAACTATCAATGTGTAGTGATAGCAAAGAATTAAAGAAGACAGATGGAACAAATATTTGATAAGCTAATGTAGCTTATTTTACTTATATCTCACGCATTATATCGATGTGTAATGAAAATCTGTAGATTGAGAAACTTAATCTTATAATTTTATATAAGTATTTTCCGTATCTCTTATGATAATCAGATTTATTAATAATTGTCATGGCTGTTGGCACGTTTAATTCATCGGTATTCTATACATCAAATCGTTAGTTTTAGTATACTTTTCAACAGTTTAAATTAAATAAATTTTAGTAAAATTATAATTTGCATTCTTGCTGCTGACGTAACGACGTGCCTTGCAGATCTATACATAGGTGTAATTAATCAAAATACCATATCCTATTAAAATTATCGCAAATTACCGAGTACATACAAATTTATAATATACAAGTAATAGTACAAAATGAAAAAAACTGGCCGCCGGTAAAATAAAGATTAGATTTAGTAAATTAAAGCATATTAAATTAAGTGAAACGCATATCGAGACATATACCTGCCTTATTAAAAATTGATGCAACTATATCCTGATATCTTGAAATTTTGCTCTCGAATTGCAACATCAGTTGATTCTAAATATATTCGCTGTAGAAAGTATCTCGATTTACGTATGTTAATGAATGTAATTTTCACTGCAGTAAGATTACTAATTTAAAATAAAAAAATAATTTTATATTTAAATCTATAATATGTATATTGAACTCGTGAAAATTTCCTATGAAAGCAATTGGTAATAAATAGGAGGAAATATTTAAAATACACTAAAAAAGAGATATTCATAAACGAAGCACCAAGGAGAGGACAAATCGGTTGATTGACGGTAAACGCGTCGTTCACAAAACGGCACGCCACATCCGCGATAATGTCTAATAAATTAATTATGTAATTGTCATCAGAAAATCGATGATATAATCGTTGGTAACGTTTTCATTGCGTTCTACGATCCAGCAATAATCTGCATATCCCTCTTGTACTTATAGTTTCACATTCGCTCTTCACGCGCATCTCTCTGTGATCGATCTCTCTGTGATCGCGACACAATTACACACACAATGTATCGTTTATTAGAATGCGAATCGATGCTTTCACGTTTCTGAGTCGTACTCGTGGTTCCTCCATTGACGTTGTTTGCTCTTCGCTTTCCTCGCCTTGGTCGTCGCTTTCTTTTTCCTCGGCTTTGTCATGATCTCGCAGCTGCAACCGCTTCGCACTTTGATGTAGTCCAATGTCCACCTGGACTCGCTCATGTTGTTGCCTGGAATTGCGGGAATGTGATGTTCTTCGATACGCTCAACCTTTCGGTGCTCATTCTTTCTGTGTTCTTCTCTTCTTTCCTCCTCTTCACTTTCAGCCTAAACAAGAGTTAATGGATTAATTAATATCTTCTATAAATCCACTCGATCATATACATTAAAATTTCTCAGCAATTATTTAGAAAGATTTTAAGGTTTTAAAATAGCAAAAGATATAGTAATCGTAAGATTGTTATATCATCTCAAAAAATATGATTCTTGATGAAGGAATTGTAACAGAATCTTAATAATTCACGGCCGTACCTTTTTTTCCGGTTTTGGGCTCTCGACGATAGCGTATGTGTACGAAAACTTTTGCACGCATCTCGACATGTAGCTCAACTTCCGGTCGACGAACCTGCACGGCTTCTCGAGGACGTCTGGCCTGCAGGAGTACTCGTAGAATCTCTGGGCATTGTCGCCGTCCCGATAGAGCTGGACGTACATGTCATTTCGATTTCGACCGCCGATAGGTTCGATCATTTCCTCTATCGTGGGACAGCAGTCGACCGCGTGGCCGTCCTTGCCTCCTTCGCGATGCAGGATCATTTGCATTTCCCGAATTGTCATCGGCCTGTTCAACGGTTCCTCCAGTGGCACTGCCCTGCGAATTGTAAGCGTATCCTCTGTTTAATCGATTCTTACTTTTCATCGTATTTATCCTTGGTCAAACAGATTTTTACTCCACTAGTTTGCTTCGAGAGCGCACACAAGACATAGATATGTCTATGAAACCTCCCTCGGATTAAATTCCAACGGTCGTCGAAGCGCACGGACCATAATCGTGTTAACAGGCGACTTAATGGGGAATATATGTAAAATTAATAAAATCACGCTTCGCTACGCCACATTAAATCCTGTTGAATTTAAATCGGATTTAGCCAGACATCGGAGGAAAATCGATATTCCTCCCGTAATAGCGTCAGTAGCCCGTATCTAAATTACGTCGTGGAATGTTGTAGCAGTATAAAAAAAAAGAGATCCGCAAAAACAAGATATTTTGTTTCGTTCATGCACGTTATTAGCATTTCATACACATCAGTGATAATAATTAAGATAGCAAGCTCAGCGTCATCGATAAAACGAATATTCAAATGCGATATTTCTACGCGTTTTCCATTGATTATTATTCGCGAAATTAAATAAGCCGTAATTATCAAAAACAAAGTAGTGAAAATGGACATCGTTAACTATACATTTTAACACACGTTTCTAAGTTTATAATATGCATAACTTATATAATTATAATATTGTTTTTCGGATATCATTATAATGTAAATGTATTTATATGTTACAGATAAACTTTGTGCGCGTAATCGGTGCTACAAAATATCGTTCCGTCGTAATATAATAAAATACGCGTCGGGAGTGCCGTTAATATCGGGAGTGCCGTCATAATTTCGCGCGAGTTTAAAGTATCGCGCGATTTTCGCATTCGAGTACGCGCGCGAGCAATGCGTGCGCCGCGACGCGTGTGAGTCAGTGTGAGTGCCTCGAAAGACTGCTGAGAGGAGGAGGAGGCATCGGGCGACAGCAAAGCATACGGTAAGTAATTTATCACAAAAAATGCACTTTTTTATGTACATACATATATTAAAAGATTAACGTTGATTTATAAATGCGAATTAGAGCGTGCAAAGCAAACTAGATAAAGTTATGTAATTTTCCTGTTTCGCACTTCATTAGTTTCTCGCGCTTTATCTGCAAATCTTTACTCACCGGCGAGAGAGATGTCTTTTGAACGATTCTTCTCTGTGTATTTGAGAGAAGGATATAGTCAGATTGTTGGCGGCAATAAACCGCGGGCACAGGACTGCGGTCAGCCAAACCACCTGCAATAAAAATGATGAGAATAGATATCTTTATCGACAAATATAAATTTCTATTGTATAATATTTGTTAAACTAGACTCATTTCTCCTCGCGTTTGAAATCAGTCAAGATAAATGTACTTCTATTCTAACAGATGTGTGTCTTAATGCCACGGCGCGATACGAACAATTCTATCATATCTGCCGCTGGCAGATACTAATGCGCATGAATTTACAATACGTTTCACGAGCTGTCAAATTAGAATCGTTTTAATAACAATATCGCGTCGAAGAATCGCGCGTGAGAAAGTACTCGACGGGACGTCAGAGATCGGTACGAAGGTGCAATAAAACACAGTGTTAGTCACGCATCGCCCGAATCCGCGCGCGGAACGAGCACAGGTGAGCGAAGTGTACGTGGAGGTGAAAACATTAATTCGGCTTATAATTTTTATGCAAAACAGGCCTCACGGCGCCGCCGCCGCCGCCGCCGCTGCCGCTTGTTAATACGAGCGTGCCTCTTTCTCGCGGTACACCACACTTTCGATTTAATTGCGCCGTATAACTCGTCACCGGAAAGCACGCGGAACCGGCCCGCTTCGTTCACCTGGCTAAACTTTTCTTTATTTTTGTCCACGGGAGAATTGCGCATAACATATAATATTTACGATTGTTTGTTGCATTCGCAAAAAGAACGGTATCGATAAGCAGTTATATAAAATAATTCAAGAAAAAAATTCCTTAAATTATTTTTAAGGATTTTTAAACGCTAATTTTTTAAACGAAAAACGCTCATTAACGCAGATCTCTGATTTCAATTTACGGATACAAAATTGCGTTATTATCAAGCATCGATGACACTTCTTCGCGTAATTGCGAAATACTGCCGAAGGGTCATACGAAAGCTCCTCATCGAGGCTTATATAAAGAGAGACAACGCGATATAGCCGGCACCGCCGACGTTTAATTAAGCCATCGTTCCTCCGGGTGAACGGTTAACCAAGCAGCGGCGCCTCCCATACGGGGAACTCGCGTCGGACAGAAGATCGCGCGCGTTTGGATTAAACGGAGATTCACATACACACTCGCGAGCGCGCGCGAGACCACACATCGCGTTCTCCGCAAGATCCTTATCGGATTCTTGCATCACCCCCACGGGGAAGGAATTCTCTTGTTGACTAACGGCGATTTTAATCGTATAGAGATGTGTCCGCGCGCGGTGGCGGACATTGCGGCATAACTTAACGATACTTAGCTTTAATTGCTCGCTAAATTGACGCGCCAAATAATTATTGCAAAAATGCGACCGAATTGTCCGATCGCGCACAGTGGAAAGGAAACCAGTTATTAACGCTTTTATTATTATTTTTGTATATTATTAGTGCATATTATTATTATTTTATTATTATTTGGTAATTAACCGGCATAATAACTGTACCAGCACGCGGTAGAAATTATTTCTCTCGAGAGATTTCACGGTGATGCTCGTAAAGAAACGAAGTTAAGCTTACTCCGCCACTTCGGGGTTGCGCCCGGGCCAAGAAGACGTCAATTAGCGCCGCGGATGCTTCACTCTCTTCCCCTCTGGCTCCTTGCGATAATGAAACGCCCGATGCGCGAGAGAAGTGCTTTCGCGAAAGTCGAAATTAGCCGGTCGCTCGAGATGATCCCGAATGTATTTCAACCGGGCCGTACGTCACTCCGCTCGCCGCGATCCCGGACAATCATCGTTCGTCTTATCGCAATTTTACCTAATGACAGTCCGACAATTTCGCCACTATGCACCCCGATCATTATCAATCCTCGATCCTGATTTATCGCGGCGTGTCCGCGCGGCGTAAAAACCGCGTGAGCTACGGCACGTAGATTGTAAACTCGTTCTGCGTTTACAAGCGCTGCATATAGCTACTCGCATATATAGGATTCGTACATTAATTGCCGGACGAAAATACGGACCAATTCATTATAAGCCACTGCGCGCGCAGCGCGGTGAAGTTAACTGGGGATGACGTTTTTATGGCTTCTTTGCGTTCCGAGTTCTATCTCCTTCGGCCTGAGTAAATGTATTGTAATTTATGTACATTTTAATTTGTGTACACTAGGAATCGGGGTCTGACGTACCCTTATCTAAGGATAATTATTGACCACTTTGTATCGATCAGTAACAATTATCAATAGAATTCTATCGCCCCGCCATTCGTCTGATTGTCAAAATATCCCCGCGAGCTCCGAGGAGCGATTAATCGTAGAAAGTGCGGCATTAGAAACGAGATGCATCGCGTGTACCTATTCACGTTAACGCAGTTCATTACTGATGATACCGCGATTAGGCTAATCTCACTTAATTTCAAAAGTTACTTAAACTTATTCAAAGGCCGCGATATAAAACAACATTCGCCTCTTATTCCGGTTATCTTCGGACGTCACGATGTATCAACGGCGGTAGAAAATATCGTCCCTCCCACGTGGAAAATAATTTGTGATGCAATTAGAGTCCCATAACGCGCATCGACGATGACGCTACGCACCGGCGGGCGGGATCCCGGCGCGGCGACTAGTCCTTTCCCGGCTTCGTATCTCATGCCTCCCGGAATGCACTCCGAGGCCCCGGTTGCGATATACGTATATCTAACGATATACTCCGAGCTGGAGCGATAACGTTCGAGGAATCGAGGGACCGGTATCGTGTGAGGACGCGGTTTATCGGCCGACGTGTTTATGTCTCCACGCGCGCCACGTGGGTGCTTCGGTCCCCTGCGCTCTCCCTCGCCACTGTCAGTCCGAAAAATCGGTCGATCTCACGTATATGTACAGACGCGCGACTATTTATCGTCGCTGGGTGACGTTGAACAAGTTTATGTCATCTCGGAATGTGCTTGAGAGTTTACGAGACTCTTGAAAGAAAGCGGTGTCGAAGGGGCATATCTCAACTGTGAAATTGTGTCAGCGGTGAATTTCGATCGAAATGCCAATGAAGAATTTAAGGTAGCTCTCTGGATTATATTTCAACGCCACAACTTTGCATTTCGCGCTGCACTTCTTACATCATTACTTAGGACACTTAAGAAGAGAACTTTTTCTAATAATTTATCGGCAGTTCAAGCGAGATTATTAAATCTCGCGAGTGAACAGCTAATTAAATCCTTCGCAGAAAGCGTATGTAATCGACACGCGTTATTTATCATTGTCATCGAGACCGACACCGAGATTTACAGGGAGATTTACACCAGTAGATCTGCGAAGGTATTATTACATTTAAAAGGCGTGCGTGCGTAGCCAGAAATATGAGGTTACTGATCGTAAAACGCGCATTAATAGCGAAACGTTCCGACGTAATGTTGTACGCACAGCTTGGAAAAATCGTAACGATGGCGCGACCGCAATAAAAGTCCGTGATCCTTCTACCGCGTAGTGGGCGACCGGAGGCGCGAGCGAGCATAATCAAACGGGCATTCTCTCTCGTGCTATTGGCCGTAAATTTTTCATCAGCTACGCGGGTGTCGCGATTGGAGGAAAGCGCGGCGATAATTTATAGCCCTCCTCGAGAGTACGATTTCCCGTGCGCAGAAACTATGCCGTTACATTGTGCGCCTGCACAAATAGGCTGCTGCCCGTTTCGATATTCATCATGGCAATTAATAGGATATTGTATCGTATTAATAAGCCATCGCGATTTGAATATAAATTATGCGCCGCAACGAATGACGAAAGGCTCTCTTTTCGAAATGCGCAGAAAAACATTGCGTCCCACTTGGTTTTATCGCGCTTAAGTATGCAGAACATCGCAATAAGGCGCGGGCGATGTAATATAGATACGCGTATAGGACTATCTTAACCATTAAATAACTCTATAATTTTTTTCTGTATTATTGATTCTTCGAAAAAATTTATTCTTGCAAAAAATTAAAAAGGAACTCCCCACATAAAGGAAGTCGAACGTTACTCTCGCGCTACTCACTGTAAAAAACCATTATGGTAATGTTGTAAAACAACTCTATACATAATTAACTTGTCGTGAAAGAATGTATATAACCTTCCGTGATTTTACTGCTCCATTCATTAAGATTAGTGTGTTCGAAAAGAAGTAAGGCTTTAGCATATGCCGCAGTTTCAACTTTTACGCGCTTGTAACGACCCACGAATCGCATTTCGACAAGATTTTACGGCGTGTTCGACTAACGCTAAATGTCACAACATTGCGTGTCGCGGACAGTACACTTCATACTTCACGCGAAGCTGAAGTATAAACAAATTCAATGAGCACTTTTATAAGTCCGTCCCCGCCGTCCTTATTCTTTGCCGCAAAAAAAGCGACGATTTTGAAGTATCTTGGTAAAAAAAAAAAATTAATTACCTTTGTTAATCCGCGATTAGTCGCGACGGGGATACCTGTCATTCTCCAACGAAAGACAAATCGGTGTTAATGACTCTTTAGAGGATCTCCACGTGTTGACGACTATCCGATAATTATCGCTGCTTCCGGATAATTTAAATGATCGGATAGCGCCGAATAAAGCCGCTAAAATAGCTGAAACGGTCTTTGATGGCAATCATTAACGGTGGTTTACACGATAAACTCGCAACAGGACTCGAAGCGACGGCTCGCTGTTTACCCAGCCGTCAATGCAACGCTCGTATCATTAGCATAGTCTTTGTGCGTTTGTAAGGACCCGGAGGCACTCCCGGCTTATTGCAAAGTGCCAAAGGTGGTTTCAACACCGGCGTTTCGCCATTTATCGAACATTTCGTGAGAGTCACTCGACCCTCGCTCGCGTCCACTCGATTTTCGTTTGCGATTCATCGCGGTTCTTCGTTCCGGTCTCTGCAAATTCTCGATACTTTATACGATATTTGCATTTTTGACACTGCTCAACATTTGTGTTGCATCTCGACTTTTTATTTTTCTATTTTTTTTTTCCTGACGACCCGACTATTACGAAATTTATTTTGTACTCTGATCACGGCAACAATTTCGAGGATTATCGCTAGCTATACGATTCTTTAGTTGGACACGGTTTCCGTCTAATTTCGTTCGTTGAACGAACGGACAAAAGCATGGCGAGCACATTCACAATAGCGGTTTAATACCGCGTGCATGCGGCGCGCGACGCGAGTCGAGCGAGCGCGATGTAGATTTTTTTCCCCGTGGAAAGGCAAACATCATGGAGCGCATGACAAACGGCAACTATCGAGTGCCTGTTAGAGATAGGTAAGGAGCAATGAAAGGTCCTCCAGCTCACTGCCGGCACAATGAGCGAGCCAACGGCGAAGTGGCTCGCACGGGAGGGCACCCGCGAGCTGTTTAGACAGCGAATGCTTCGCCGTGTGTTATGATTGACGTGTATAAATATTTGGTTAGTCGCCTTGCCGTTTCGTGCGCGCGTACGTGCGTAAATCGTGCGTACAGTTATGCGTGCGCTCGCGTGAGACCGCAGGACACTTCTTCTCTCCTTTCGTTTGACGCGGCAAATTAATGACGGGTCCGCTCGTTACGCGCCACGTGAGATCTCACAGATGGCCGCGAGTGCCATCCGACAGACAGATCGGAGCGGAATCGACCTGCGGAGGGGAGAAGCCGGAGGGAAGACGATATAAAATCTTTTTTTTTTTGTTAACGCACGCAACGCGCCTGGCGCGAAGTCGCGATTGAAGTGGGAGGCCGAAGGACGCTACGACGGTTTCCGTAAAGTATGTACCTACCGGTGTCTTTCATTGCGACACCTGTCCGCGGTAACGTGGCATCGTGGTTGTCCGCAGCGAATGGAATGTTAATTGGGAAAACGAGGAGGAAGCGCGACGCATTTTTTTTTATATGTCTCTTATAGTTCGGTGGCTAAGCCGAGTTAACGAACGCCGACTCTACACGCGGCAGACGTTCCTCGTAGTACGTTAGTTACCTTCTTCTCCCCCCACCGATCGAGTTAAACCGTACGAAAAAAAGAAGCACTGGAAGACTGGATGACCCGACGGCGAAATACACCCACGACGACTCACTAAATCATTCGCGCGAAAGCACGAGGCGAGCCACGCGGCTCTCTCTCTCTCTAGACGCGGATCCACCCCTTTTTATATTATACGCTTAACTACGATTCGCAATATGTTATTTCCAAATTGTTTTAAATTACAGACTCGGCAACCACGACGGGTCCATGCGATAATAGGAGAAGGCGTCCATTCGACAATATCTTCTTGCGAGGCGCTCGCCGATTCCCCCGGAGCATCCAACGCCGCGCCGAGTCGGTGAGTAGTTTATGCAAATACTAATATGTACGCAAACACGCAAACATTGCGGTCCTCTTTTTTCACTGCGCTATTCTGCGCCAAAGATTTAAAAGATACGACCAAAAAAGGGCAGGCTATAATTTTTCGTTATGAACGATCAAGAGAATCGTTCCAATGGATTTTATAATTTATATCAAAGCCATTCAGTTAGCGCGCAAGTTGAGTGTATTCGTTTATTTCTGATGTAATTGAAAGTTTCCAAGTTTTTTTTAATACACTCAAAATCAATTTGCGCAAAGACCGAGATCTGTCAGTATAGTTACGCGTTTCCGATTAATCAGCAGCTAAACGTCGAGTTCAGCTCTTCGCACGCATATTATCGGCGACAAGGCGTGAAATTTACTTCTACCATCAACATCGCTGATCGTTAATAACGCAAATAATTTAGCGGAAAGGCTGATTATCGGCTTTGAAATCGATACGCCAACAGTGTACGCTCCTCGGTCTTTGAAAATCAGGTGCCGTCTCGGTCAAGTAACGATCGAATAAACTGAGAATTGTCTTTATATAATTCTTTCTCGATTATTTCTAGCAACTTTATCATTAATACTTTCAAACTAGCGCTGCTAAAATATATTTACGCGTTATACGTGTCGAATATTTCAATTTGAATTTCTTGTATCTAAAAATTCAGGTTTTTTAGAATAAATTAAAAATCGTAATAAAAAGCGATATTTTTTATAGATTTAAAACGCACTAAAAAAATACTGCCCCTCTAACTTACGATATCGTGAGATGATCGGGAATACCTCGCGAAGACCTCCTTTTCCAAAAATGCCGGTAAATATCCTTATCGCGTGCCGACAGCAGCATCCGGCATTCGTGCAAATGGTCGGCGTATTCGTCGTCAATGCGTCGTCGCGTCTTCACGTTTAATGCCGCGTTAAGAGGATTATTTATTAATGGCACCGGCGCCGGTGCGCGGACCGATTAGCATAGTAATGCGCCGTAAAGCTGGCCCGGTGTTGCATGCCGGTTTACAACACGTGCATATGCATACGCTGCTAATCTGCCATTATTAAATTATCGGTGCAGCAGCAGCCGCGCTGCACCGATGATTATCATATATCAATATCATGGGCGTGAAGAAAACGTTGTGAGATCGTCGTCGACGGCAGCTGATCGGGTGTAGGTATCCGTACGTCATCGGCACATGATATTATGTAGATAACACTGGTATGCGGGTCGTCGATCAGTGATAGGGATGTTCTCTCTTCTCGATGCCAGCGGGATAGCTGTCCCCGCATGCTTGTCGCATGTCCTACGAATATTCAGTCGCAGGTTCGATCGACGTGATCAAAGAAAATTCCGTCGTCTTCATTTTTAAATATTTATTTTTTTCAAATTTCCCGATTTGATTAATATCGATGAAATGATAGATGTCGATTTTCGCAAATAATTATATATTACTTTTGAAAAAATTATTCAACTTTAATCGACAATTGCTTTTCTTAAGTTTATTAAATTTAATCAGTATCAAACATTTATATATTACGTAATCATATAATGACTGTGCATTTTTATAAAAGATGCAAAAGATTATACATTCATATTATTACATTCATATATATTGAAAATTTATATTATAACCGAAACAGAACGCCTCGGGTAGCCTTTCGAATATGGCTGAAGAGATTTCATCACGATTTGCAACTCTATCCCGTTGCAAATCCGTGATCTAAACGTGAAAATTATGACAAAAATTAGTCGTGGGAAAATGCGGCAAAGACGTCCGTAACAGCCGTGACGAGTCGTAGGAAAACGAAAGGAACGGAAGAGAGACAGGGAGCGCACGGTTCGCACCATAATCCTAAAAGTTTATCGACACGTTCATGACAGGGGCTGAGAGAGAGAAAACGTTCACCGGTTCCATCGGCGGTTCACAGTTGATGCGGATGTGTGCGAGCTATCTCGATAATATGCTAATAACGCTCGCGGCGGGCGGTGCTTTACGATTGTTACGTCGGTGCTGGATATTATAATTATTGTCTCGCTGCTCGCTCATCCGGAGCAACGCTGACGCTACGGGATTGTTGCATCAATCGTACAGGGCCTCGTATAACTATAATTACGTGTGGCGACCTTATGTATTCCGCAACATATGGTGGAGAACCGTATCAACAGGTATCTTGCTACTGTTAGCGCTCGCAATGCCGAGTAGATTTTCCAATCGACTTTGAAAGTAACTTAATGATACAATCTCTAACTATCGTCTTGTTTCTAAATTCAGTTTTTAGATTTAAAACAATTTTTAAATATAATTGTTATCTTGTTTGTTATGCAACTTTCGGAACACAATGCGCGCAAAAACTTTGACAAAAAAATCAAATTTATCGCATATAATTCTTAATACAAAACTCACAACTCGCCAATCGTTTGTCTTACAATTAAAACTTACCGCGACGAGGGTTCTGAGAGCTTCAATTCGCATAGTAGCTGGCCAGGCCAGCAAGAAGGCCGTAGGTTGCGAGCTGGTGGATCGATCCGCTCGTATCGATCCCTCGGTTACCGATCCCTCGGCTACTCGGCGGCCCTAAATTTACCGGGCCGACGACGATGGTTCTCTCTCTCCCGGCTCCACGTCGATTTCTCGTGATGATCCGCCGTGCCGATCCGGCGATGACATGGCTACCGCGCCGCCGATCTGTCGACAGAATTGATAAGCGTCATATATGTGTTACTGGCCACTAACACCACCGCTAATCGTGACGAGACAATCGTCAAATTTATCGTCCTCTGTCCTAATCTTTATCAACGACCGCGATCATTTTTATTTCGCGGTCACGTCGCGCGCTATCGTTTACATGCGTTTACCATAGTTCAAGCAGTCAATTCGATTTGTCAACTTCTGAATCGTTTAAATAGATTTCGCAATAAATGGTGTGTCAGCAGTATTTAGAGGCTGACCCAGTTCGGATTTTTACCTTTGTCAAGTTGATAAGATTACTACTCGACGACATTGTTGTGAAAGCACAAGTGTGTTCAATATTTTACGCTCGAATATTTCTTAATCGCAAATGCAAAACACGTGTTACTCTACATATTTATTTATGTATATATTTGCAATATTTTTTTATTACGATTGTACAATTTATAACACATTCTTACCTTTGACACACGCGAGAAGTTTATCTTGTCCTAAATTTATCCGCGCCAACTCGTGTACTAGAACAATTCATCTAAACCTGTTTGAGATTTCTAAGCAATTAATTCTAAATGCGTAATCTTTATATATCGCGATCGAAACTCTAAGACGATTAAATTGCTCGGTAAATCCTTGTCCGCAAGGAACGCAGGCAAATTGCGCGAACGACACCGAGTTGCAGTCACATGAATCGTTTGAGAGGATGAGGCGTTCGTCGCGACGCGAGACGATCGACTAGACCGGATATTCGAGATTCGCTGATAGAGTCAACGAGGATAAAGTGCCGATGTTTAGTGCAAACGAGGTGCGGGTGTAGTCTTATTTCGTCACTTGCTGCGAATCGATATCTTATCTCACGGTCACATACGTTTCGCGATGATTCCGACGATTACGTCGCACTACTGACCTACCGAAAAGGAATGTATTTCCCACACGGGCGATTGCGAGGAAATCTAAGGTGGAAAATCTTCTTTTTTCTTTTACGCTGTCTGCGCAACGTCGTTCCTTATCTTGTTTACTTATTTTATCCGTCCAAGCCTTATTGATTAACGTATATTACCATAAACTGCAAAGTGAATGATAATTCTGCTCGTTGTCTGATAATTCCGTAATAACCGCGCATAAATTCCGGGTGATAAAAGATGAAGAATACGAGCGCCATGCGTAGCAGTTATGGCGGTATCAACTCTCTCTTGGCATCATTCGTTATGTGACTTAATGACTCTCGAGAAATCATCGATTGGTCCACGTCGGGAAGTCGCGACGCCTCTCACATGGTGGAAACACGCCTTCTTACCGTGCCCGTAATGGACGAGACTTCACGCGTGCGCGCGTTCACCGGTCCGACTTCGATTTGCCGGGCAAGACGCGAAGGAAAGCATTGAGCCCCCTCGAAAGATCAGGCGAAGTGACTCGGCCAGAACGAGATCCGTCCGACCGCAATCGCGCGTTTCCTCACTCGTAGCGAATTAATTTCCAAGCGAAATGCCGAGGTCAAATTGATTATGTCGCTCTCTGATGTGCGCGAAGAAAATAGGGAAAAAGTTCTTTTTAACGGTTGTATAGTAATCCTTCGTGTAATCTTAAATGCAGAGTTGGAAGAATATGCTGAGTAAGTGATTAATAATCCCGCACAAAACATATAGTTCTAATGTCTTTTTTTTAATAATAAACAAAATTGATTGCTTATTGCTTGAAAACTAAGGACCATAAAAAGTTATTAATTTTCAACTACGGCGTGATAAAAAGCGTAATTAAGGATTGACTGAATCATTCGTGCATTATATATTAAAAATAATTCAAAGTGACATTTCGGTTCTTAGAATATGAAAAAGGCATATTTAAAATTATATATGGACAATTAATTATTGATAGCATTCTGCTTAAATTGCGATAGCCAAATTAATCGCGAACAAGAACTAAGCGCGTCTAGGCAATTACAAATAATTACACGACAATTTGATAACGTTCATAATCGGTCCATATGTTCTTATCACGTGAATCATCAGCATTTTCCTTCCGTTGCTCATCGAAATACCGATTCGATTCGATCGCTTCCAGTTAGGTCGGGTACCAGAGATCGATGAAAGCAGCCGATGCGGCGTGTAATCGTAAGCGGATTAGGGATATAATTTCGAATTATCGTGCCGACGCCGCGGAGGTGTAACACACACCGAATGGTTTACGTATCATCGCCAGTGAGTCACGGCGCGTGGAATTCGTTCGATAAGACGCTCACATTGGTCAGCAAAACGTGTCGCCGTTTTTTATCATGAAGACTTGAATGGCGCGGGGCGAAAGACCGAGAAAGGAGAACACGTTGGTTTCGACACGGATACATTATCGCGGGTCAAACGATTAATATACATAGAATTCGGCCGATAAAACTCCTTTACGGCTCGTACCGTTTTCGTGTACCTGCTCGTATATACGGGCGACAGAACGTGGCGGCACACGTGCGGTTGCGCACCAATCGATTAACGGACCGCTATCGCGCGCTACTGGCTAAGGCATTCAAGTGACACACCGCGCGCTCGTAGATTTATGGTCGATATCAGCGAACACGACCGTCCCGTTGGCCAGCGGCGAACATTTTATGCTTGAATGAGGACATTTTCGAAACTATGAATGGTAGGATTAAATAGATACATAATATAGATTTATTAGCAAAAGCTGTAGTCGATAAGTAACCGATAAGAATTTAGCATTGAATAAGTGGCATAAAAATAAAAAGTGTGATAAAAATTTCACGGACGGCATTGAAAATTAATGAATTCTTGATGCAGAGTAATCATAATCTTCTAATATAAATGACACCAAGAAATCCCGCATAAATCCGTCATAATACCCGTCCTATAATAACGTAGCGCAATAATCGCGTTGTAACGACGTTCGTACGATTATCAAACAGGATTTCTACCAGGAAGCTGCCGCGAATAGCTCTTCAAGATCAATGCCGCGCGACGGCAAACGACGATCATAGCGGAAAGTGATTTTTTAATAGAAAGCGCAACCAATCCGCGAACTGTACCTCATTAAATATCGCGTTGTCCACCCACGTGAGAAAACAGCGCCGACTTTCTCTTCCTCCTCGCTGTTTTCCTTATTTCGTTTGTTCATCGAGCACGTGTACGATTAAGGTCCGTCAAACAAACCCCGTCGAGCAGGATTACGGTGCGCGATCTCCATCGATCGAAGTATTAACGATGCCACAGATAAGCAGCTAAACGACCTGCTTGCGGAGGCACGACCAAGACGAAGTCTTGTCGTTTAATTACGGCGTCGTTTTATGAGTAATGAACGAGACGCATAACTCTCGCATGGTGACTTGCGATCCTGGTAATTTGGCCCGCATGAGTGTTCTCTCGCTGGTTTATTGCTCGTTATCGCGGTAACTACCCCGGTATAGACACCGGTTGTTAAGTTTTAATATCCTGTCGAGCAGAACAAATCACGATATTGTATTCCGGCCGATAGTTAAACGCGAATAAACCCATATAATGGGCGCAATTTTTTCGATCGATTATGACAGAGATAAGTGATATTGTAATGACGTAAGAACCTTGCGGTACCATTTTGCAAGATGACGTTACGAGTTGCGGGGAACTTAGGCGCGATAAGCGCATAATCCAGATTTTTACGCAGGTGAATTTTTGCACCTTCGCAAGAATTTTACCTGGTGATCTGGACTTTGTATCGCCGCGTGACGCATTGATAAATATGAAGTACAGTAGAAGCTCATTGGCATTTTGCAGAGGCGGCACCGTCGCCGTCGGCGGGGTTTGCGTTGAGTCACTTTATTGGCGGCGGCGCCTAGCTGCATCGCGATAAAAACATCGCCGAGAATGCGTTAAAGCCTGATTAACCGGCGCCTTCTATCTCGCGTGCTCTCATTAGTTTATTACCATTAACTTTCACGATAATTACTACGTGCGCAGGGCCCTTGACGACGAGAATGCCGATTGCGAGCGCAGATTCAGATCGACTGAGACCGGCTCTCGGAAGAATTATTCATATCCTTAATTATTCATGCAGTCGACACGACTATATTTTATAATCACGATCGATTGGAGAATTGATTCCGTTTAACGAAAATCTGATCAGAGTCCAACGCCATTCGGTGGCAGTCCGTGACGTTCTCGACTATTTTGCATATTTCGCGATGTCGCAATACACTTTCTCTTCACGAGCCCCTTGACGTTACTTTTCTTTTCACCTACGCGACAAATTTACGATCTTTAATTTACACCGATTGTCGCGTTCTTGGAATAAATAAAGAAACGCAAGTGCCGCTACACTCGTTAAAACTGTACAGTTGAAGTCTGTGATAACTTTGCGCGGGCTTTTTCCACGTGGAAAAACATCGTTGAGCACGATTCTTGTAACAACAATCTTTTTATGGCCGACAACCTGTTGTCAACAAATCTCATATCGTGATTTTGTAAATGCGACAAGGCATTCGTCCTATTCTTTTTCACAGTTGTTTAATATTCATCAGTTCTTTTGCAAAAATTTTCCTTGTGATGTCACAAGGAGAAAACACGTCGCAACTTATCTCATTTATTGAACTTTTTTTTCGTATATCAACTTATATAATTTATATGAAGATTAGTGAGTGAGTGAGTTTGATTGTCGAGCTCAACTCGCAGTAAATACAAGACTGTGCTTTATAATTAGCATAAATATTTAATAAATTTCGTTAGAAATAGAAAATAACTGTTCGCTGCCGATAAAAATTATTTTCAACACGATTTCGAAAGTAATATTACTTAATAATTGCAAAATGATAAAATAACTTTGCAATGTAACCTCTTGTATTTTTTTATTAATAATCTCTTATTGACACATTAATATTAAAATCGATGTACTTTCTCTCCTCTGTGCTCACTGTTCTCTTCGAGCAATTATTCCCGTCTTGTAAATTAACATCGTAACACCTGGACCATTCTCTCGCTCGTGGCCTGAAGAAGTCGTTCTGCTGGCATAAGCCGACTCCTTTT